TTCTCTTCATTCTCTGCTACCCTGTCTGGATTTTCAAATCTGAGTCTTAATAATTGAATAAATCTGTTTACATCGTATAATTCGGGGGCTTGTTTGTTGTGTATTGGGCCACCCAGTCTGAAGCATCCCCTTCATCCCATTTGTTATGGCCTAACCAAATTGCGTTCTGTGGTGTATTGATCTCCAAATCATTCTATATGGGCTTGGATTCAAGTGAGGAAGTAATTGAAATGTTCATGGCAGCCATCGAATACGGTCTTAAAGGGTATTTGGTCTGGCCTGGGTCGTAGTTGCGGAGGTGGCACAGGCTAGGCCCCTGCAGGTTGTACTGGAATGAAGGGAACTGGCCTGGTGGTGTACATAGGCTGGGTAGGCCCCCTGTATCCTGGCTGGGTGGTGCCTCTCTGGAATAGGGGTCCCAGTGGCCTCACTGCTGGTTGAGGCTGCATTTGTGGCTGCTAGGAGGAAGATGGGTGTGGTCTGGTTCCCTGGTCGGATGGAGGGGAAGTGGCTGCTGTCTGGGCAATGCCCCTTCAGACCATGGCTGTGTTGGTTCTGGCTGCCATTGGCATTGAATCCACCCCTGGCCTAGATAAAATCCCCATCCTGGAGGGATACTCTCTGCAGGGGGCAAAATTCCTTCTGGAAAATGAGAGGATTGCCTGGGGGGCTGCAACATACCTTTGTCAGTTGATGCTTCCTTCTGCCTTCCACCAACTGGCATCTGTATAGTCTCCTCGTTCCTCACGATACTTGGGTACATGAATATGGGTGGTCTCAAGCTTCCACCCATCCAAACAGACTGTGAGACCAAACCTGTCACCTTTAAATTCTGAAACTGTTGATGGAAATCTGCCCTTGATGGATTTACAGGAATAATCTGGGGGTTGTCTTCTTGAGAGAAATCTGACTCCAATTGTCTCTCTTCCCTCCAATCTGACAGAATAGCCATATGTCTGGGCTAGAGAAAGATTTCAGACAGCTGGGTTACATCTGGGTTATAACAACTTCTTGAGTTGAAACACTTCGGTATAGCTCCCAAATCTCTTTCTCCTACTGCCATCCTGAAAGCATCCATCATCTCCTCCAAACAAGGGCTGGCAGGTTCAATTAATGCTCCGAAAGGAGGGCCCACACGCTGCCCCCTGCACATCTCCAACTTCGGCTGATTGTTGATCTCTCTCCATTTCTGGGAAAAGAATTCCAAGGTATCAGCCAACCCTTTCAAAAATAAAAAGTGGAGTTTGGGAAATAAATGTAAGGCATCCAGAAAGTATCTGTGATCTCAATCGCACTGAAACATTTTCTCTCCAATTTATTTATTTAGAAACAGATCTGGCATGTCAAAGGCAATTTCCCAAAGTGAAAAGTTTTTGCGCATTACACAGAATCCACCTTCTCTCTTCCCACTGCTACACTCCATAAATCACGAGAACCAATTAACTGCCACTGGAATTTCCTAATATGCCACACAGAATAACCTTGAACTTTTCAACTCTTCCAACTCTCTTAAAAAAAATGTGGCAGCTGAATTTCAAAGCTGACACCATAGTCATCAGCCAGCATACTCAGATTGGGGGGAAGAAGAAGGAGTTTATGTTAACCCTTCTGATCACAGCCGTTCCTCTCACTCCGAGGAGGAGGAGGTGGAAATAGTGGATCACAATACATCTGAGGAGGAAGAGTTTAGAGCTGATCAACCTTCCTCTTCTGGGGTTTTCAAACCATCTCTCTTCAAACTTCCCTTGCACAAAGCCTTGGTTATGGCAAAATTGACACCTGAGGAAGTGGCCCCAGAACCTCAGAGGGCCCTTACAGGCTACAGTGATTCTCTGTTCACCAAACCAATAGTTCATGCTGAAATTCTCCCTTCCCCCACTATATTCCTTGATTTAGTTAAGGAACAGGGAGCCTCCCCTGGGTCTGGCCCTTGCCCTTCTTCGCATTATAGGTGTTTTTACAATGTGGCCCCTGCCTTAGCCAATGCCCTGATTGTCCCTTCAGTAGATGCCCCAGTGGTTGCCGCCGCCTCCTCATCAGGCACGTCCACTGAACCTGAGGATGTGCTGAAGGCAGAAGATAGGAGGTCTGAGCAAATCCTCAGGTGCACCCACCAGGCTGCGGCTTGGGCTATCGGCATCTACAGCAGCTTTGTTTTTCACAAGATCCTCACTCCACTGGCTCCAGCAGCTACAAGAGAGGCTCCTGACCACGGATTTCAGGGCGCATCAGGATCTTAACAAGATAATTGTTTCTGCGGAATTTACAGCAGATGCGACCTTGAATTCTGTGAAGTTGGGCCATGGCTTCCTCTATGGTTGCCAGACGGCTCCTTTGGCTGTGGAATTGGCACTCGGATGTAAGTTGGTGTTGGCCCCTTTGAAAAGCTGTTTGGCGACACTCTAGAGCCTTGTTTGGTCGAAACCAAGGACAAACACAAGATTCTATCTACAGCAGGGAAGAGATCGGACTATCGTCCCAGTCCATACTACTGGCCCCCTTCCTTCAGGTCTGAATCCACATCGCGATTTTCCAGAGGCCAGAGATCTTTCCTGGATCGCCAAGAACAAAGTCCTGAGGCTTCAGGCAAGCAGCAACAGGCCCCTGGTAAATGGCCCCTTCGAGAGGGAGGAGGTCGTTTGTTCCCACGCTCGAAGTACAGACCCGGTTGGATCCCCCATCAGAGGCCGTTTGGCTTTCTTCACCTCTAGATGAGAGAAGTCGACATCAGACGCCTGGGTGCCTAAAACAGTGAGATTTGGCTTGCAGCTTTAGTTTGTGTCTCCACCCCTGCAATTTTTGTTCGATGTCCTACGTCAAGGGACAGCTCTAGATGGGCCCTCGTGGAATCAGCCATTCAACATCTGGTCAATATTTGGGCCATTGAGCCAGTTCCGATGAGTAATGAGGACTGGATTTCTACTCTCGCCTCTCTGCGATCCCGAAGGCCTCTGGGGGATGGAGGCCCATACTCGACCTGAAACTCCTAAATAAATTTATTCTGTACAGGCATTTTAAAATGCAAACTCTGCATTCCATTTTAGAGAGCGTTCGAGAGGGCGACCTCCTTTCCTCCATTGTTCTCCCAGAGGCTTACCTCCATATTCCTATCTGGCCTCATCACCGTCAGTTTCTCCGTTTCTGTTACCAGAACATCCATTTCCAGTACCGGGCGCTTCCCTTTGCTCTTTCATCGGCACCCAGGGTCTTTAAAGGTGCTGGCAGCTCTGGCAGCTTCGCTGAGGTCTATTTTGGTGAGGGTCCAGTGTTATCTGAATGACATCCTGAACCAGTTGCAGTCAGTAGGATCTGTTCATAGAGACCGTGCATCACACTACAGTGCCTGCGAGACCACGGCTTCTCGATCAACCTAAAGAAAAGCCACTTCTCCCCTACGACCAGGCTGTTGCATCTCAGGGCGATCATCGATACTTCCTGCTGCCAAGTTTTTCTCTCCAGACTGCGCAGAGAACCTCAACACCCTTGTAATCCAGATCCGATGCCTGCGCACCTCCCCCTGTCTCTGCTGTCTCAGCTCCTGGGGAAGATGATCTCCTGCATTGGCATTGTCCCGTGGGCCTTCCTTTATGCCAGTGCGCTCCAGTGGTTCCTGCTGCCATCCCAACGAGCAGGCACCAGCCACTCATCTATCAAAGTGCAGGTTCCACCACAGGTCCTTCATTCCTTCAGGTGGTGGCAATCTCAGGCAGTATGGCGGGGCCTCCCCTTCAAGGAGCTGGACAGGGTCCTGCTCACTACAGATGCCAGTCTTCAAGGCTGGGGCGCCCATATAGAGGGCCAGATTGCTCAAGGATGGTGGTATCAGGGAGATAGAGCTTGCCCTATAAATTGGTTCAAACTCAGGGCCATTTTCTTGGCCCTGAAACATTTCCGGCACAGGGTGGTGGGTTGTCATATTCTAGTCATGATGGACAATGTGGCCGCAAAGGCCCATGTCAACAGACGGGAGGAACCAGGTCCAGGGCCCTCATGAGCAAGGCAGAACACCTGGGGAGATGGGCAGAGAGACATCTTCTGTTCATCAAGGCGGATCACATATTAGGGGTTGACAGCGTCCAGGACAGTTGGTTGAGTCTGTCCCAGGTTGATCATACGGAATGGAGTCTCCATCTCTCATTATTTCTGGATTTGTTCCACAGGTTCGGTACCCCGGCAGTGGATCTCTTCGCCACTCCCCTCAACACTCAGGTAAGCAGATTCTTCACCAGGTTTCTGACCCAGGGAGCGGAGGGGACCAACGCGCTTCGAAGTCGCTGGCCTTCAGGTCTCCTTTACGCCTTTCCCCCTCTTCCGTTAATTCTGACTGTAATCCGGAAGATGTTGGAGGAGAAGGCGGAGCTGATTCTCCTGGCCCCCCTTTGGCCCAGGAGACCCTGGTTTGCAGATCTGGTGAACTGTCTGTAGACCAGCCGTGGAGGATCCCGGACGACAGGATCTCCCTGCAGTAGTGGGCCTTGATTTATCCAGACCCTCAGTAGTTCCAGTTATCCGCTTGGCGCTTGAGCGGCAATCTATGAGGGAGGCCAATTTTTCTGATAGGGTGATAGACACCATTCAGGCCTCCCTCAAGCTGTCCACCTCATGCATCTACGATGCTACCTGGAAGGTCTTCTGTTCATGGGCTCTTAAGTTGGAAATTGTACCTTCCTCGGCTTCTGTGGCGGAGGTGTTAATGTTCCTCCAGGATAGGCTTGATAAAGGCCTCACCTCTAATACTCTTCGCCGTCAAGTTGCAGCTCTTTCCTCTATTTTGTCCTGGGAGGGTTTTGATTCTTTATCTCATCATCCCTCTACGCAGGTTTCTATGGGGGGTGGGGCTGATAACCTTCACTCTCTCATGGTTCACAGATTTCCCACGTGGGACCTCCTTAAAGTTCTATGGGCTCTCACGGGCCTCCCTTTGAACCTCTTAGATCAGTGTCTCTACAACTCATGACCTTTAAAGTGGCATTTTTGATGGCCATCACTTCAGTCAGGAGGGTGTCAGAGTTGGCGGTCCTCTCCAATAGACACGACCTTTGTGTGTTCCATGAGGATAGGGTGGTTTTGAGGTTAGATCCCTCGTTTATTCCTAAGATAAACTCCTGGTTTCACCGGGCAGAAGAAGTTGTTTTGCTAAATTTCTGCCCAGGACCACAACATGAGTTAGAGCACAGATGGCATAAGTTGGATGTAAGGTGGGCCCTTAAGATCTACATCAAGAGGACTGCTGAATTTAGGAGATCAGAGGCTATGTTTGTGTCATTTCATCCTACCTCCTTGGGGACCAAGGTAGCTCCTTCTACAATTGGGAGGTGGATTTGGACTTGCATCTCCAAGGCCTACCAAGCTTTGTCCTTGCCACTTCCTAGGAACATCACGGCTCACTCCACTAGGAGTGCGGCTACTTCGGCTGCCTGGTCTTCTCAGGCTTCACTGGAGATTTGCAGGGCTGTCTCTTGTCGTTTATACAACATTATAAGTTGGACTCCTTTGCTTCGGCGGACACCTCGTTCGGAAGGAGGGTGCTTCAACAGGTAGTACCACAGTCGGAATGACCTACCCAGATGTTAACCCTCCCATGGGCATGCAGGCTTTGGTATGTCCCATTCCTGGACTCCCTTAGCAACATGTATGAGAATGGGCATTGATAGAATTACCTGAGAATGCCCTTTCTATATACTCTGCAAGAGAGTCCAGCCCCAGCCTAGTTCATCTGGGAGGGGGTATTTTGTTATGTTTACTTGTTTACCTTCCAGAGACACGTTATGTCTGTCAAGAATCTTCGCCTAAATGATGGCGAGCAGCCAAAGCTGATGGTTTTTATAGTGGCAGACCCAGGTCTATGACGTCAGTAGGAGGAGTTGTATCCCATTCCTGGACTCTCTTGCAGCGTATTTAGAAAGGGCGTTCTCAGGTAATTCTACCAATGCCTATTCTTAAAATTCTTATTTGCATTATCACTGCATAGTTTTGGATATGATTACAATTTGTTTCATGTCTTAATTTTTCCTAAATAAGCCTCCCCCGCTTTTATAGCAAGCTCATAATCCTGCATATTAGCTAATATTTTCAGCTGTGGCCTTTTGTTCTTCCTCTTAGTCTAAGTCCATAATGTAGTTTTTAAACAGAAGAAACTCTGTACTTGGCCCTTTGTACAAATACTCTTTGTAGCTGAAAAAGCTATTGTACCATTTTATGTGGAAAGACTTGTTTAGCATGGATGAAAATGTACATGAATGAAAATGTACATAATTATAATTTAATAATTATAAGGTGTATACGCATCTATCTACTCTTCTCCTTTTAGTGACTGGGCTTTTGTTCTTTTCTCACTTTCTTTAGGAAACCATGTTCTGGAAATTTGATCTCCACACAACTTCTCATATTGATACACTTTTGGAGCGTGGGAATGTGACCCTTTTTGAACTTTTGGATGAGGAAGATGTATTGCAGGAATGCAAGGTGGTCAATCGAAAGCTTATAGATTTCCTGGTACAACCAGAACATATGGAAGCTCTAGTCACTTGTGTGACTGAGGAGCCCCCTGGGGATGTGGATGAAAGAGTGCGCTACAAGTAAGTAGACCTTCAAACCTCAAGAAGAGGCATGAATTAGAATATTGTGCAAAAGTTCATTTATTTCAGTAATGCAACTTAAAAGGTGAAACTAATATATGACATTACATGCAAAACAAGATAGTTCAAGCCATGATTTGTCATAATTGAGATGATTATGGCTTACAGCTCATGAAAACCTCAAATCCACAATCTCAGAAAATTAGAATTTTATATGCAATCAATATAACAAGGATGGTACAAAGAACAATATCAGACCTCTGTAAAGTGTAAGCATGCATATGTACTCAGGACTTGGTTTGGGCCCCTTTTGCAGCAATTATTGCCTCAATGCGGCGTGGCATGGAAGCTATCAGCCTGTGGCACTGCTGAGGTGTTATGGAAGACCAGGATGCTTCAATGGTGGCCTTCAGCTCTTCTACATTGTTTGGTCTCATGTCTCTCATCTTTCTCTTGGCAATGCCCCATGGATTCTCTATGGGGTTCAGGTCAGGTGAGTTTGCTGGGCAATCAAGCACAGTAATCCCACTGTCATTGAACCAGGTTTTGGTGCTTTTGGCAGTGTGGGCAGGTGCCAAATCCTGCTGGAAAATGAAGTCAGCATTCCCATAAAGCTCATCTCCGGAAGGAAGCATGAAGTGCTCCAAAATCTCCTGGTAAATGGCTGCGTTGACCTTGGACTTAATGAAGCACAGTAGACCAACACCAGCAGATGACATGGCTCCCCAAATCAACAGACTGTGGAAACTTCACACTGGACTTCAAGCATCTTGCAGTGTGTGCCTCTCCATTCTTCCTCCAGACTCTGGGTCCTTGGTTTCCAAATAAGGTGCAAAAGTTGCTCTCATCAGAAAAGAGGACTTTGGACCATTGAGCAACAGACCAGTTCTGTTTTTCTTTAGCCCAGGTAAGATGCTTCTGACATTTATTGTTCAGGAGTAGCTTGATAAGAGGAATACGACATTTGAAGCCCATGTCCAGGATCGATATGTGTGTGGTGGCTCTTGATGCACTGACTCCACTCCTTGTGAAAGTCCACTCCTTGTGAAAGTCCCCAACACTTTTGAATGGCCTTTTCCTGACAATACTCTCCAGGCTGCGGTCATCCCTGCTGCTTGTGCACCTTTTTCTTCCACACTTTTCCCTTCCACATAACTTCCTATTAATGTGCTTTGATACAGCACTTTGGGAACATCCAACTTCTTTTGCAATTACCTTTTGAGGCTTTCCCTCCTTATGGAGGGTGTCAATGATGGTTTTCTGCACAACTTTCAGGTCAGCAGTCTTTCCCATGATTGTGATTCCTACTGAACCAGACTGAGAGACTATTTAAAGGCTCAGGAACCCTGTGCAGGCGTTATGGCTTAATTAGCTGATTAGAGTGGGACACTTTGAGCCTAGCATATTGAACCTTTTCACAATATTCTAATTTTCTGAGATTGTGGATTTGGGGTTTTCATGAGCTGTAAGCCATAATCATCTCAATTATGACAAATCGCGGCTTGAACTATCTTTCTTTGCATGTAATGAGTCTATCTCATAATTAGTTTCAACTTTTAAGTTGCATTACTGAAATAAATGGAACTTTTGCACGATATTCTAATTTTTCGAGTTTCACCTGTATATGAGACTTCTATCGATCAAATTCAGATCTTCAAAATGTCCAGAACCAGGGAGATTTATGTGTTCGACTCATCTTTCCTAATTCTGCTGAAAAGTCATATTTTTGCATCCTCTCCACATGAATATTTAGCTAATGCATACAAAGAGGGGGAGGTAGCATGTTTAACTGGAGCATTATCCTAAGAGCTGCCTGTAAAAATGGGGCTGTTCTAAGCACCAGCTGTTCTGGTTTTCATCTCCATATCATCATCGTGCAGAAAGGTATAAAATGAGCATAAATGAGTGGAGATGAATATGTTCCTATCTTCCTGTCCATAGCAGTATTGATCTCCATGATACTCCTCTAGACTCCTCCCCTCCCACCTGTAACAAAACAGAATAAATTTCTTCTGAACTTAATGAATTACCTGTAATTATATGCTACTAGGACATGGAGGTAGGTCAGTTGGATGTAGGGGCAGATTATTCATTCAGTTATAACTTGTGAACAAAGCCAATGTGGAAAATAACAGGTCAGTGGTCAAACCTTTTACTTAACTATGTTCTCTGTGTACATTGAAGGAATGTTAGGTGCAGTAGTTAACAAACCAAACCAATGGTGTTTGATATGCTTTTGAATGTACAGAATGAGATTAATGTAAGCAATTTGAAAAACATAATTTGAATTTAAATTAAATTGGTCTGTGTAAAAAAAAAGAAGACCTCAGATCCATAGATAGAATGCTTACTGAATCGCCAGTCAGTAATCCTAGTAGTATATATAATAACTAGATAATTCTAGAAATTATGAAAGGTTACTGGGTTGTGTAAGATCTCCCTCAGCCTTTCTACTCATAGTTGTTCTAACCGTGCCTTGAATGAGTAAGTGCTAAAATAGCACAGCAGCAGAAAATAAACATAGATCTTTAATTTAACAGCAAAATTATATATGAATCCTATGTTTATTCTATACTCTTTGGCTTTTCATGACAGAGTCTTTCAGAATCAGGTGGCAGTCAGCCAGATGTTTAGATTGGATTTGGCATTTTTATCCACCTATTGAGTCCTTCCTGAGGACCTTAGATAGGCAGGTGTTGTGGTTTAATATTAAAGGTATTGTCACAGGATGTAGGCAGTTCCAAGTAAAGCTGCCTTTTACAATTGACTGATGGTAAATTGTCAATGCTGATGATACTCCAGTGGTGTTCCAGTTGTTCTGGGATTGTACCCAAGACAATTATTACAACCTATTACTATTGGTACTATTTTTGCTTTCTTTTGCCACAATCTTTCTACTTCTACTTTGTATTCTGTTATTTTTTCTAGTTCTTTCTCTTCTGTTTCTCCAGATACTGCTTTGTCCACTATGCAGATTTTTTTGTCTTATTTATCAACAGTTATTAAATTTGGGGTGTGATGTGACAGGCACTTATCTGTTTGAATTCTAAAATTCCAGAACACGTTAGTTTCTTCATTTTTTATTAATTTGTCTATTTTGTGATTCCCACCGATTCCTGCTTGCAGACAAATGGTACTTCTTTCAAATATTCCAATGCACCATTGTTGCTCCTTGTCCTCTTGTTTTTGGTCAGACTGTAGTATCTTGCAGCAGCTAATCAGGAGCTCCACTGTTTCTTCAGCTTCTTTGTGGAGGTGGAGTTTGCTTCCTGTTGCTGTCTTCTGAATTCTGACTTTGGTAGTTTTCAATTTACTGTCACAATTAAGCCCAAAATTTCTATTGCTAAGTGAGATATTCGTTAACTGAGTTTTGTTCCAATTTACAGCTTTTCTTGCCACAGTTGTTAAGTGAATAGCTGCAGTTGTTAAATTAATAAAACAATTGTTAAGTGAATCTACCTGCCAGAAGGTCACAAAAGGGGATCATATGATCCTGGGGACACTGCAACGCTCATAAACATGAGCATCTGAATTGGGATCATGTGTCCACCTAAATTCTGCAACAGTTCGTAAGTATGAAAAGGGATCACAAGTTCCTTTTTTTAATGCCATTGTAATTTCACATGGTCAAGGACCACCTGTACATTTCTGAATGCTTGGTCTTGTGCAACCAGAATTAGGCCCTTTGTCTCTTTCTTGAACTTCCCTGCTTTTAGCCATTGCCAGGTCTGGTTGTTATTTGCTTTGCCTACTGTTTTTTTTTAATGTATTGGCCATGTAATACTTTGCCTTCTACAGGTTGTCCTCAACTTACATCAGTTCATTTAGTGACCATTCAAAGTTACAATGGCACTGAAAAAAGTGACTTATGACTATTTTTATACTTATGATCATTGCAGCATCCTTATGGTCACATGATCAAAATTCAGATGCTTGGCAACTGACTTACATTTATGATGGATGCGTTGTTCTGGAGTCATGCAATCCGCTTTTGTGACCTGACAAGCAAAGTCAATGAGGAAACAAGGTTCAATTAACAGTTGTGTTACTAACTTAACAATTGCAGTGACTCACTGAACGAGCTTGGCAGGAAAGGTCATTAAATGGGGCAAAACTCACTTAACAAATTTCTCACTTAGCAACATTTGTGGCCATCAGTTGAGGGCTACCTATATTTTTATTCATTTATTCATTAAACATGAAACTCGGTCAACTGAACATTTAAAAATGTATCACAAGTATCATTGACTGGCGCTGATGGTTGATACAGGTTGTTACCAGCATCCCAAGTATCAACGAAGTATCTTCTTAAAATGTATGATGTTCCAAGTAGCACAGTTTTTTGCAGTTCCACTGGTGTTATTGTAGGAAGCTGCAATTTCTTAATGTATTTTGTAAAATTCTTGGACATGGTACCAAGTGCCCCGATGACAGTCAGTACCACTGTTGCATGTTTCATCCATAATCACATGGTTTCAATGGCCAAGTCGCGATATTTCATGATGTTTCCAGCTCTTTTTCTTCGACTCTTGCATCTCCTAATACAGTGATATTTGTTGTTGTTATTATTATTAATTATTTGATTCTGGCGTATCCTGGTTCAGTGATATTTGGTGGTGTTAGTATTATAAACTTTTATTCATTAAACATGAAACTCAGTCAACTGAACATTTAAACATGTATCACAAATATTGACTGGTGCTGATGATTAATATGGGTTGCTGCCAGCATCCTAGGTTTCAACCAAGTATCTTTAAAAAGTACGATGTTCCAAGTAGTACTGTTGTGGTTGTTATCGCACAGTCAACCAGATGTTCAGACTGGGTTTGGCATTTTTGTCTACTTATTGAGTCCTTCCCAAGGATCTGGGAAAGGTAAATCTAGATACTTGATGGTGTTACATATATTGTCGCAGGATAGAAGCTGTTCCAAGTAAAGCTGCCTTCTTCAATTGACTGATGGCAAATTTGTCAATGCCTGTGATATTCAAGTGGGGCTCCAGTTGTTTTGGGATTGCACCCAAGGTGCCTATTACTATTGATGCTTGCCTTTGCCATAGCCATTCTTTCTATTTGTAGGTCTTTGCATTTTGTTATCTTCTCCAGTTCTTTCTCTTGTGTCTGCTGTCTCGAGGCACTGCCACATCCACTATCCAGACTTCTTTGTCTTTCTTATAGACAACTGTTAAGTGCAGGGGCTCATGTAGTGGGTGCCTGTCTTTCTGAAGTCCCAGAGCAATTCAACTTCTTTTATCATTTTCTTATATATGCAGCAGTGTGAAATCAACCAATTCTTTAGCTAGTGTCGTTGTTGTTGTTGTTGTTGTTGTTGTTGTTATTATTATTATTATTATTATTATTATTATTATTATTATTTTATTCATTAAACATGAAACTCAATCAATTGAACATTTAAAAATGTATCACAAATATCATTAAGTGGCTCTGATGGTTGATACAGGTTGCTGCTAGCATCCTAGGTTGTTGTTGTTATGGTTGTCATAGAGTCAGCCAGATGTTCAGGCTGGATTTGGCATTTTTATCTATTTATTGAGCCCATCCCAAGAACCTGGGATAGGCAGATGTGGATTTTTGATGATGTTAAAAATATTATTGCAGGACATAAGCTGTTCTGAATAAAGCTGCCTTTTCTAATTGACTGATGGTGATTTTGTCGATGCCAATAGTGTTGCAGTGGTGCTCCTGTTATTTTGAAATTGCACCCAAATTTCCCTATTACTATTGGTAATATGCCCTATTACCTTTGCTTTCTTTTGCCACATTCATTTTATTTCTGTCTGCAGGTTCTGTTTTATTATCTTCTGCTGTTCTTTGTCTTCTATTTTGCTGTCTTCAGGTACTACCATGTCCCTTATCCAAACTTTTTTTGTCTTTCTTATTGATATTTGTTAAGTCTGGGATGTTATGTGGCAGGAGCCAATTAGTTTGAATTCTAAAATCCAATAGAATTTAGCTTTTTTATTGTTTTTCTTATATATGTAGCAGTGTAAAATCATAGCTACCAGTTCTTTAGCTGGTATTGGCATTCATATGTATCAAATTCTTCTGAAGAACCTAGGATGTTACAATCTTAGTTTTAGTGCATGGGCAGATCCAAACAGCACAGCCTTTGTAATTAACAGATGGAAATTTTGTCAATGTGCAGATCATCTAAGTCCATCCAAGATTTTTTGGTATGGCACTCAGTGTTCCAGTAACCAGTGTCCTCATGGCGAGATGGGCAGCGATTACATTTTATAAATAAATAAAAGAAACAAACACTGGGACTCCACACTTTTCTTTTCTTTTTAACTACAATTAAATCTGGTGGGTTATAGATCAAGGTTTCATCCATTTGTGTTTTGAAATCCCACAATATATTAACCTGCTCTTTTATGCCTACCTTTTCAACTATATGTTCCCATCATTTTTTTATTACTGGCACATGATAATTATTACAGATGATAATTGTATAAGTTTTATTTATTATTACACATAGTTATTATTTAAAGCTTCAAAGTAGTTTCTTATATAATGTTATGTAACCATCATTGGAATTCAGAGAAAAGTGGTGACACTTGTATTGGGTAATTGATGAATATATAGTGCTCTAGAAATATCCCACTGCTACCCTTTAACGCATTTGCAATGAACTGGAAAAATTAAAGAAATGCCAATATAGTATGGAATCTACCTCAGAGCAGAACGTAAATTAGAAACACAAAACATAGTTTCTGAATAGATTGTGTTAATATTTTACTGTGCAGATCATTTGTCTTCATCTTTGTCATCTTCAATCAGTAGTCAAACTTGGGGGAGATATTTCTGCAGCAGGGTTTGGTCTACATCTGCTTTTAAAAACCTCCCCTTTTTCAGATATCCAAGTGTTTCTTGTGAGATCTTGACTTCCGACGTCACACAGATAAATGATGCGCTGGGTGAGGATGAATCTCTTCTGCGACGTCTCTATGGCTTCCTTCAGAGTGATGGAATCCTCAACCCTTTGTTGGCCAGCTTCTTCAGCAAGGTTATGGGGATTCTTATCAACCGTAAAACTGATCAGGTAATGTCTTAAAGGCTTTCTGGACCACTAAAGAAAGAAATACATCTTAATCATAATTGATAACTTCCTTCATCACTAATCATATGATTTATCTCAAGGGTCTTCTATCATTTTTCTTTCTAGTTTGTTCATTCATACACACAAAAGGCAAAGACTCCATTGAAATAGCATCAGCTCATGGTGACTTCATGGGTGTATTCACCTAGCTTTCTTGACACAGTATGGAAGCAGTTTGTTATTGCCTTCTTCCATGATATACTTTAACTTCTTGGTGTGGTCAAGTTCTTCTTGTGTTCTTCTGTCAAATACTAACCAGGTTACAATGGATTAGTTTTCAAGTTCATTGAAGATGATTTAGGGGCAATTACCTAACCAAGTGGTATAATCACAGAGAGCTTAGAAAATAACTTGTAGAAGACCTAAAATATACCTTGTTATGAATTTATTGAACCAATTCAATCTTCAGTAATGTTAATATAGCTCCTATATAAAAAGATAACATCCTAACACATTAATTATTATGTAAAAATAATGTAATACATTTTAGTAATAAATATTTTTATTGAGAATAATTATTGGATTATCATCAAATGACCAAGTTTCTTAAAGCAAATGATTGGCTAACTTGTAAAGTAAGGTAATGTTCAAAATGAAGATTCTCTGTAATCTAGCAGCTATAATATTTGTTTTATCCTGCCCATCCTTTAAGGACATATATCCCATTTATCTTTATAATATTTCAGTGTGCTAAGTTAAACAGGGGTGACTCATTTGAACTTCATGGCTGAGGAGGAATTTGAACCTAGGGATACTGAAGCATAGTTATATGGTTTAATCATTATACTGCCCAAGGATTGCAAAAATGTGGACTTCATGATTAGGCTAATATGCGATGTGGCCCACTCCTGTGCATGATTGTTAACAAATTAACAATAGATTCAGCCATATGTAATACATATTTTCTTTCCCTGATGGGGGAATTGATTATTTCATTCCCATATTGAGGACAGAAATTTGTAGGGCCATTTGTTTCCGAAGTGGCTTTTCTCCCCTTTCCCTCAACCCTAATTTGTTTGGTTTTTTTCCAGATAGTTGCCTTCTTGCGTAAGAAGGATGACTTTGTCAACCTGCTGCTACATCACATTGGTACCTCAGCCATCATGGACCTCCTGCTGCGACTCCTAACCTGTGTGGAACAATCACAGCTTAGGCAAGATGTATTCAATGTAAGGATCCAGCTGTAGGCATTCTTGTCTACTTCTCTTTGCTTCCTTGGAAGAGCAAGCAATGTAGTTTTCTATATCGCCTTTGTTATTTTGGTCAACTTGTCCAGAAATGTGATAACCAATTTTGGAATGGTATTATTTCCTTGTTTTGTGGAGGTAAATAATTAAGTAAAAGATCTGGTGTGTTAGTCAGTCCAAACCATATTATAACTGTGTCACGCCCTAGTTTTCTTTCTTATGAGCAATAGCCATTTAAAAGACTTAAATGGATTATTATAGGTATCACAGTATTCTGCTGCATTTTTGCCAGGCAAGAACCATTTCCTGCCAGTCAAGGATTAGGGATAAAAGCTTTAAAGGCAATGAATGCTTTTTAACCTATTTATGTAGAATAACCACCAGTTGAATCTTCTGAAATCTTAATAATTCTTTTTTACACGTATATTCCTTATTTTTTCTCTCTTTTTTGTTGCTCAAATTTTATTATGAGGTTTTTTATTCTTATACCAGTAAACATATCTCAGTGATAGAATTTTGGGGACAGGGTGAAGTATCATTAGAATTGCATTTGTCCCTGAATAAGTTTCAATGTATAAGTGGGGTAGGACTGAGACATCTTCCTTTAGTCTTACCATTCTTTTGATTTCATTATCCGAAGTGGCTTAATGAGGAGAAAATTGTGCAGAGGCTCATTGGGATGATCCACCCTTCAAAGGATGACAATGTAAGTAGCAATTACAATTGTAGAAATACTTATTTGTATATAGGTTGTGTGCAGTGTTCATCATGCCATTGAATTATTTTCTACTGGCCAATAACAGTAGATGAAAACTGAAACAAGCATTTGCTTCACTGTAGTTCTGGTATATTGAGGAGCTGTTCCAAACCTTCATGAAGCTTCTTTTTTCTTGTTCCCTCTTCCCAGCAACATTCCAATGCTTCACAGTCTTTGTGTGACATTATCCGGCTGAGCCGTGAACAGATGATCCAAATCCAGGATAGTCCTGAGCCGGACCAGTTACTGGCCACACTTGAGAAGTGAGTGCTAAGCACTGGCAGCAGGGAATAAAAGAGGCACCATTGCCCTTAGGTTAGAAATAAGTGTCACTCTCTAACGCTGCAATGAATTTGAAAGGAGAAATGCCTGTTTATCAAAATTCACCTCATTTTTAATATTACTGCTACCGTGTTTCTCATAAAATAAGGCCGGGTCTTTTTTTTTTTTTTTGAGCCCCGAAAAAATGGCTAGGATGTCTTTTCGGGAGTGACTTAATTTCCTCCCCCACATGCACCCCAATCTAGAGCACCCCATGTGCACTCACCGCTCCACAAGGCTGCTTCTCTTGGCCAATGGAAGCTCCCTGAAGGCAGAGTCACCAGCCACTTCTATCGGCCAGTAGAAGCGGTGTCGTGGAGAGGTGAGTGCGCATGGGGCACTCTAGGTGGGGGTGGGGGTGGGGGGAGGAAATCTATCGGCCGGTAGAAGCACCCTCACGACGAGCGCCCACACGCACTCCCCTCGCCATGAAGCCGTTTCTATTGGCTGATGGAAGCTCCCCGAAGGCAGAATCACCAGCTACTTTGGGGCGAAGCATGGCTGTCTGCGGGGTGCTCCTGACAGGATCGCCCCACGCTCACTCCCCTTGCTACGAAGCTGTTTCTATTGGCCGATAGAAGCGACCTCAGGGCGAGCACCCCACGCATACTCCCCTCGCCACGAAGCCACTTCTAAGGCCGATAAAAGCAGCTGGTGACTCTGCCTTTGGGGAGCTTCCATTGGCCAATAGAAACGGCTTCGTGGCGAGGGGAGTGTGCGTGGGTCCTCACCCTGACGCCACTTCTAACGGCCGATAGAAGTGGCTGGTAACTGCCTTTGGGGAGCTTTCATTAGCCGATAGAAACAGCTTTGTGACGAGAGGAGTATGTGTGGGGCGGTCCTGTCAGGAGCGCTCTGTGGGCAGCCAAGCCTTGCCCCGAAGTGGCTGGTGACTCTGCCTTTGGGGAGCTTCCATTGGCCGATAGAAATGGCTTCGTGGTGAGGGGAGTGCATGTGGGTGCTCACCCTGAGGCCGCTTCTAACGGCCAATAGAAGTGGCTGGTGACTCTGCCTTCGGGGAGCTTCTATCAGCCAATGTTCTATCGGTAGTAGATTGGGGTATTCTAGCCTAGGCTACATGCAGGGTGCTCCTAAAGGCAAGTTTTCTCCCTCCCCCCCATTTCTCTTCACCTCATGTAGTTTTAACGAATGATGTGAGAACTGGCGGGGAAACGCATGGATTAAATAGGCCTAAATTTTGGGGGCGGGGCTTAATTTCACCTCATGCCTAGAAATCATGCTGGGCCTTCCTATTGGTGGAGGCCATATTGTTGGAGAAACACGGTATCTATATAGTACTAAAGCTTTTGTTGTTGTGACCTTTAATTGAGTAAAATGGTGCAGCATAAGGCAACAGTTTTTGAATCAAAATACCTCAATTGGGCTAATGTACCGAGTATGTCCAAAATCCTGGAACCCTGACTCTCAAGGGTATGTAATTTAGGAAAGTTGTGACTGTTTCAGTACTGATGTACTGCTATTGAAGTCATATGATCATTTTTAACATTTTGTGTCAGTTTCCCAGCCAATCTCACAATCCCCTGTTCCTTCTCCCACCCAGCAGCTGTCACTTACCTGCCTGCTGGGAAGAGAAGAGAAGATTTCCTGTGCTCCCTGCCAGATGCTCACAGGAAACTTAATGGAGGAGCTGGCAGGAAGTCGAAGTTGCTTCTCCTCCTGCTTCTGTTTTGCCCATTTTATTTCTTTGTTTAGATAAGGAAATATCTCTGAAACAATTAGCCAACAGGGCACAGGTTGTGTCAGCGGGTACTCCATTCAAAATCCAAGAAAGAAATACTTAGACTCCATTAATTAGAGAAAAGATAACTTTTACTGGAAATCAAGTGGTAGCATCAAAGGAATTCTGAATCTGAGAAAATGAGCGCGTAAATCACTTATACAAAGTGATGGCAACGTTCCCACCCACAATAGTTCAAACTGTCCATCCAATAAAAAGTTTCATGTAACGTCATGTGGGCATCTTCAGGTAGTGATGTGGCATCTGTCCGTTGACCGTGACATATTTTGATAAAGAGGTGCATAGCAAAAGAAAGAAGCATAAACAAGGAACTCCACCCCAACTTACACAGTTTATTCTGAAACCTCCAGCTCACTTCCCATAACTATTACACACATACACACACACCTGTTACTTATGACAGCTGAAAGATGCAAAGCAAAGGAAAGAAATCTTGAAGACTGACAGGTTGTCGAGTTCCAATTATAAGCGGAAGAGGGAACCTGTATTCAGTGATGTACATTCAAGCCTATATCAGGAGCGAGCAATCAGTTTTATCTTTCATTGAGTTGCCAGCACTGCAATCCCAAAGGTGAACAGAATTTACCCAACTAAATTTGATTTAATATATTCCATTAAATATAGTTAATATGATTACTTCCCCTGTATTTAATACCTTTTCCCGTCTGTCACATTATCACATTTAGCTTATTGGCAACTGCAGGAGGACTCTGGGAATTATACACAAGTTTTTCTAAAAAAAAAAACACGTATATTCAGGCTTTGAACTAACTTCAAGAGTACAATACCATTGTATTTGTCAAATGAAAACTGAGTGGTAGTGTTTTACTCAGCCAATGTCATTTCTTAATGAAAAGCTCCAGGCTTTGGTTTTTTGACTCTGCATGCTATGCCTCTCTCCTGTTGTTAAATGCCTCCGTTGGTATTGAACTGTAACACATCTTGGTCTTAGACCAGAAGCTCCCAACCTTTTGGGCACCAAGACTGGTCCTGCGGTGAGAGGTTTTTCTGTGGACCTGAGGAGGCATGGTTCTTTGTGCAATAGTTAATGCGAGGGAAATGGATTTTGTAGTTGGTTTGATGGCAAAAAGAAGCAAATGGTGCTATTCAATCTTCATCAGGAAGGTGTTTTCATAATTATGACATAGCAATTTTGTCACATAATACACTAAGAAGTTACTTGAAGAAACTTCCCCCAGCTCATTAAAGCTTCAAATTAAACTTTCACAGTCATTCTGCAGTTATGGAGGGCTTGTAAAGCTGAATCACACACGTACACAAACACACATACACCAATTCTTTGCGTCATATTGTTTGGAACATTACAAAGCTGGAGCGCACAGACACTTTCAAGTTGAAGATCATGTATGGCTTTTTATTGGCCACAATCCAAAGTGGGAATAAGACTAGGCTATAGAAATCAGCAAGGCCAAGATGAAAGCTAGATTTAAAGTAGCTAATTTTCACAAATTATGTTCAGTTAATTAGATTCATTCCCCTATATTTAAAAATGTTAGATTAGTGGCAAGACACAGCAAAGCTTTAATTATAGGGCGGGTGTGCAAGCTTCTGGTTTATTAGCCTTTTGAGCATGGTGGGGAGGAGATGAGCATCAATTACCAGGCATATCATTTGATAGGATCATTGGGCATTTTTCCATTATATGTTTCTTTTGATCAAGTACAAAGCATCTGCACAGAATATTGTTTCAGAATTTTGGAGCTCAGAAGGGTTTCAGGGTCCTCACCTTAAGTGTGAAAGTTGATGTTGCAACATAGTTCAAGACCCAAGAATTACCACATGGCTAGTACTAAAAGTTTGTCTCTCTTGAGCTTTGTCTATTTTTTGGTTCAATTCCTAAGTTTTTTTTAAAAAAATCGCATTTTTGTTGCTTTTTTATTCTCCCCCTTTTTATGTGCTTTGCCTTTATCATTGTGGCATATGCAAAGATAAAAAAAATATAACAGCCAGGTCTAAGATCATGGGACAGTTTAGTAAAAACAATTTCCATTCCTGTGCATCCAGACAGGAGACAATTGAGCAGCTGCTAAGCAATATGCTGGATGGAGAACAGAGCGAATCTGTCATAGTCAATGGGATCCAAGTCTTGCTGACCCTGCTGGAACCACGAAGACCCAGGTATGTAGTAAATGAGGGCTGTGAGAGCAAAATATTTGTTACATTTAGAGGAGCAATATAGAGCCAAAAGGCTTATATGAAATATTCCTCAACAAATGTATATAGCAATACAGCTTAGGCTTAAATACCAGTTTATAGTGCTTTACAGCCTTCTCTAAGTGATTTATAGAGTCAGCCTATTGTCCCCAACAATATGGGTCCTCATTTTATCCACCTCGGAAGGATGGAAGGTTGAGTCAACCTTGAGCCTGGTGGGATTTCAACTGCCAAATTGTAGGCAGCTGGCTGCAGAAATAGCTTGCAATACTATATAGTTGGTAGCAATGTTATATTCTGTTGGTCATGTTTTTTTCATTTTAAAAATTATTAATATCTGGTTATTCCTATCAGCAGAAATCCTCAGACAATACCTTGTGAAGGCTATAATAAGTGGAATAGGGCTGTACAAACAACCATGACTTTAGAAATTGTTGCTGATCTTTTTGCTTCTCTGCTGCGCAAACAGTTTCTTGTTCATAATTCTGTAATTCCCACCACGTAAATTAGGTCTTTGACTATTCCAGTGTTTTTTCCTTCAAAGTGATTCTCGAACAGGAGTGCAGAATAGTTCCCTTGTTACATTTGATTTGCATCGAAGAGTTTACATTCCCTTAGCAAGAAAGGTGGACCATGAGGGTGTATTGCTGTAATATGTGCGTCCTTTGATCTTCCTTACAGGAGCGAGTTGGGTGGCATAGGGGGCTTTTATTGCAATATGGAGGGGCAGATGGAGATGACTACTCCCAACTGTGAAGTGGCTTCCAGCCAGGCCAGTTTGGGCACTCTGCATGCCATCAAACAGCGTCTCAGGGAGCTTCACCGGCTGCTCCTCGATCCACCAAAGGTTAATAAGAATGCATGCACGTGGATGTGTATAGGCAAGATTAGAATTCAATTGAAACAGCAGGGAAGGAAGTAGTGGTGCCAATGGCATTTTAAGGGTTTCGGAGTGTTGGTTGCAGAAGGATCCCCCTGTCTCCCTCATGGAACCTTCAATGCGCTGCCATAGAAAAGCACTACGCAGTCCAAGGGTTGGGGAGTTTAGTTTTATCAAGACATTTGAGAATAGCTGCTTGGGAATTAGTAATAAGTAAGCTAAGTGCTGGCTGAACTTACCATATGAAAGAACATATGGCCAAGCAATGAAAAAATGCTGGAAATGAATTTTGTATCTTAAAAAAAAAATCTATGTATATTCTTAGGGGAGAATTATTAATTTGGAAATAGGAAGAAATTTTGGAAGGTACCATAATAGTGGAGCTGTAATTCTTTAAATGTGGCGGAGTAAGATTTAAAATTGTGCAAGGTCTTCTGTTTTATGTCTTAACTGCCCCTGCCTATTTCTCCAAGAGAAAAATTTTGGCCTTGTCCATTCAAGCTTTGGAATACTGGGGGTGGTGGGTGCGGGGTACACGCAAGATGTTCTTTTTTTTAAAAAAATGTACTTTTCCTCTAACAGAAAGAAGCCCTGCAGACTACCTGGGGGGTCCTGGACCCTCCTTTAGGAAACACTCGTCTGCATGTAGTGAAGCTGCTGGCCAGCTCATTGGGTACAAGCAACACAGCACTGCGGGATGAGATCATTGAACTTGGGGCCATTGACACTATGTTGGTGAGTATCAATACTGCCTCTTGTTTGCTGGGATTTCTGTCTGATTGGTGGGCGAACCATTTGGCTGACTCTTAAAAAAGCTCAAGCACAGTACTATCTATAAGTAGTTTGCTGCCCTCTTCCTTTTTGAGTAGGAGCCAAAAGGCAAGGCCGTGTATCATTTTGTAGCTCAAGGACCATGCTTGGCTTGTGAGAGACATTTGTGGGACACATACAGAAAAGTGAGCCAGCTCAGAATCAATCCCAGTACTAAACACTCATTCAATGATTATTCAAAGTTACGACAGCAATGAAAAATGAGATAGCTGGTCCTTAAAGTTGCAACCATTGCAGCATGCTCACAGACATATGATCATGATTTAAGGGGCTTGGCAACTGGCATGCATTTTGGATGATTACAGCATCCCAGAGTCATGTGGTTGCCATTTGTGACTCTCACAGCCGGCTTCTAACAAACAAAGTTAGTGATGAGGCCAGCAGTAGCAAGTTTGAGGTCAAACAATGTCACATTTAATGACCTATGGTGATTCTCTTTAATCAGTGCGGCCGTGTAACTTTGCACTTAATGAACAAACTGTTTAGCAACCGAATTGCCAATCCCAATTGCAATCAGTAAGTGAGGGCTACCTATAATGTCTCCTTATATATACTGACATATCAAAATTATTAATGTAATTCAACTTATATGGTTACCATACAAATTTGGACAGTTCATAACATTAAAAATAGTTTTAAAAATCCTAATGATAAAAATATCCCCCAAAGAAAAAGAAGCGACAGAAGACATATAGTGTGTAAACACCTACGATATCAGAATCAAAATTCATTTCATAATAATTAGTAAATATTGCTGGCTCATTTATCAATGCCCAGGGGAGCAGTTGGGTCTTCAAGTTATCAAGATCCAACTCATTCAGGATTTAGGGGCGAGATGAGGCACCTGCTGTTCCATAGGGCAGATTCCTGGATGCTACAGAATGGCAGTATTTAATAAATGGGATATAGAATGTGTTAGCCCTTCTGATATTATGGAGGAAATAGAAATAGATAGTACTTCAACAACGCTGGACCTGTGCCTTGAGGGCCCTAGAGCAGGGCTGTCACGGCCCACGGGCCGGATGCGTCACGTGCTAGCCATGCCCGGTTTAGCAAAGGGGGAAAAAGTCCTGATATGTCACGTGACACCTTCATGAAAATGTGAGTTTGACACTCCTGAGCTAGAGTCTTGACTTCATTGCAACAATCCAAACGAAAGGTTGCCAAGGCATGAGTATCCTATATATAGAGGGGGGGGCGAGGGAGGGAGGGAGAGAGAGAGAAAGAGGGAGAGAGAGAGAGAGACTCAAATCCACAGTCTTTCAGTCTTCTAGGGTTCAACCTCAGTCTCTTTCTCCTTACCCATACAACTTCCATACACTGAGACAGTACTTCCACAGCATCATTTGAGCAACCAGGAGGTAAAATGAACAGCTGGATATCATCAACTTGCTATTTATATCTAAACCCATGTGGCTGGATTTTTTAAATGCAATTTTTAAAAATATTACTGCATCAGAAGCATTTTGTTAAAAAATAGTTGTAATATATATCCATCCAACAGATTGTCTCATTGTTAAATGATATTGCCTAAATAAGCAAAACTGAGAGAGAGGCAATTTGATCTAATAGCTAAGGTGTTGGCCTAGGAAGCAGGAGCCTGGGAGTTCTCGTCTTTAGGCGTGAAAAACCAGCTGGGTGACTTTGGGCCCAACTCACCTCATGGGTTTGTTTTTATGGGAAAAACAGGAGGAAGCAGGAATATGTTTGCCATTTTGAGTTGTATACGGAAAAAAAACTATGGGTTTAAAAAAATCTTTAAAAAGCCAAACAAAAATAATAATCTAGGAATAACGTATTAATATAAATCTCCAAAATGTGTATTTGATAAGAAAAAAATCAAAGTATGCAAAGATTTTTCTATTAAGTTTGTGTATAGCTACATAATCAATTATATTTCAGGAGCTGCCTCCATTAAAACTAAGAGCATTTCGGGTTTCTTTGAAACTGCTAGGTTTCTGGTCCATATTGAATACCCATTTTACAGGATGATTTAAAACTGCATCACGGCTCAATAAAAATACAAACCATTGAACACATACAGCCAGTGCTCCATGCTATACCATGTCTGAGGGAATATCTGGTGCTACAATAATTGGGGGCATTGGTTGAAAGGCATAAATAAAGACCTATCCTTTTGTCTCTCACCACCAGGATCTCTATTTCAAGTATATCTACAACAACTTCTTGCACGCCCAGATAGAGGCCTGTCTTAGCAACATTTTCAACCCGCTTGTTGGAGACGAAACAATAGAGAACCACTCAGAGCCCCACCCAGAGACTCCAGTCATCCAACATGTAAGTTATGTGGGCTGTGTGGGGTTTCAAGGTCCTTCTGTATCATTGATGAGAGAAGTACTCTACTTTGGTCCTGAATCCTGATGTTTGGAAATTGAAAAGAGATAAATTGAAGATTAGAATTATTTCATGATGGTTAGGATTATTTCATTTCTGAAAGGAACCATATACATTAGGAACAAAGGGAGTGAGACAACTTTGAAATAACAAGAAGAGGAGCGGGTTGTAGTGTCCTTGGTCTGAGCTTAGTTGTTTTCTTACAGACATTTCATTACCCACTTAGGTAATATCATCAGTGATACAAACCTCACTCCCTTCTAGCATGATGATGTTACCTAGCTGGGTAATGAAACATCTTCAAGAAAACGACCAAGGTCAGAGAGCACCAAGGACACCATAGTTCAAATCTGAGCTACAAATATTCTCTTCTGTTGGAAAAGTGAATGCCTGGCTTATTAGACTGGAAAAAGTACCTAAGGAAGTGGTTAACAACTGGTCTCAGGTTTCTTGCTTTTTGTCTTTGGGCAGAAACATCACTACCACTTTTGGCTTAGACTTTTGTGTTCAACTGATGAGCAGCGGAAACTTAAAAATAGCCATATAAAACCCTTCTAGTCTTTTATTGAGGTGTAAACATTGGTGTCCCTGTAATTAGCAGGTATTGTATCAATTGTCTCATGTTTTCTCCTTGTAGTTGCTGCAGAAATGTCGCTTAATCCAAAGAATTTTATCTGCCTGGGAGGAGAATGAGCAGTCTCAGTAAGTAGTTATGATGAAAGTTTAAGTGTTCTGGTTAGATATTTCTCCTGTTTCCCTCCTCTTCCTTCAAGAAAGAGCCCCAAGGACTTTTTCCATATCTTGATCCTTCTTTGCTCCTTCGTTCATGCTTCAGGCCCCTGTTGCTTAGTCTTTTCTCATGGTTTTCATGGAGGTATTTACTGGCTTCCTTTCTTTCTTCACAAAACAGTTTCATTTGTTTTTCTCCAGATAGAGATGAACTGTACTTGCCAGCATCTTTCAAATTGGCTCTGTTGGCTGGAGTTGTTGGGCATTGAAGTATTAATCTGGAGATCCTTTCTCTCCCCTGCATGCAGCCTGCCAATCGGAATAGCTTCAACTCATGAGCTCCATAGAAGCACTAAAGTCTCCTTTCCTCTTGTCATTTGCTTAGTTCTTTTTTCAACCTATGCAAGTCATACCCGCAGCAACCACCAGCCTCCATTCCCTCTGTCTTCTCCTACAGATTGGATGGGGGAAGACGCAAGGGCTACATGGGGCACCTCACTCGGATTGCCAACGCCTTAGCTCAAGGCTCTGAGAAGTGGCCTCACTCAAATCTCATCAAGCAGCTCTTAAAAGGTAATGAGAGGGACAGCTTCAGGGGGTGAAGGTTATGTTTCTTGTTAAGGATTAGCCAAAGTACCTTTTTTAGCTGCTGAAATTAGCTGCTTTTGGAAACTTTGTAGGAGTTTGATTCCTGCCTTTTAAGAGGGGGGAAAAATATGGGTTCCCATTAAAGTTTTGAGGTGTGTATGACGTGGAAGTAAGATCTACTGCTAAGAGAGGATGTTTTCAGCTGAGGTGGAGACAGTAATAGGACAAAATAATTTTAATATTCTGTGTTCTGTAGTTTTATATCTTGAAAGGCTGGATTAAATTACTGAATGCATATAATTCTGCAAATGTTCTCTGTGTTTATATACGCGCAGTTTTTAAATTGGGAAAATTGCTTGTAGTCTTGTTAGGGATTAAGAAAGGATTTGACAAAAAATTTAGAGGGGAGAAATGCATCAAATAACCCAAATTAATTTTTCTCAACTTTATATGAAGGACTACAACTCCAGAATCCCCCAATAGTGGGCTTGATTAATAGTTACTTCTCATACTTCCATCCACTTGCTATGAACTTGCAAATTGCTGCACAATTATTTTCCGACTGAAGCTAGAGTTAGTACCTAACTACAGATCTATGCTTCCTGTTAGCCTAAAAAACCCCATCTTACACTATGTAGCCATAGTACCTGTTAAACACAGTTGACTGACTTCACACTAAGATGACTTTTTGATTTTGGCTTAATGTCCTGCATGAACTAAGGCACAAAGGGTTTGTCAATAAATCAATACGTCATGGTTTTATGAAAGGACCTACCTGGCTGTGTCCCTCAAACAAGGAAAAGGCTGCCTCATTGAAAAAGAATACTAATTTCTTTGAGGCTGTCTGGCTCCTAGTTACTATGGGCCACTATTCTGACAACTTAGTGCTTTTTCATCCTATGGATTCACTCAGGCTCAACCCCTATTGGGCCATGAGCTGTTGGGGACCAGGCTGCAAAAGTGGCAGGTGAGCACACATGCACAATTGTACAAGCAACGTGCATGTATGGGTGTGCACTCCATTTATGTGAGCGGCAGGTGTGCACGCCTGCCACTCACACAAATGGAAGTGCGCATGTGTCGCTTGATGGCCATTTATGTGGAACTATCCCTTCTTCTGCCTCCCCCTTCCCTCCCTCCCCTTGGTCCACAAAGCCGGAAAGTTTGGGGGTCTCTGGACTAGCTCATTCTTCGATCTGTTTATTTGCTTCTCCTTCCATTCCCCAGCTTTAGGCTACTTACATTTTCTGATTTTCAGAGATGCCTGAAGAAGACCAAGAACAATGGGAAAAATTTGTCTCGGGACCTTTATCAGAAACCAATAAGAAGAACACTGTGGATCTAGTCAGTTTTTCCTTTTTTTATGCTTATTATTATGTTATGGTTGGTTCTATATAAAATCTCTGGCAGAGTTATGAAACCCATTCCATCGGAGATTGAGAACTATATTTTCTTCATCTCCTAGTAATTTCACACTCAGCATGTTTCATGTCTAAACTTTAATACTGTCGTGAGTTTTAGAAGTAGATTTCTCTAGCTGGCTCAGCTTGGCTAGTGATCTTTGGGAATTTACAAGTGAACTCCGTATCTGTATTTCTAAGAATGCATCCTATTTCCTATATAGCTAGAGGACCAGTAATTTAAGTCATCTGCGGGTATCACAGCTTCAGCCCTGGGTTCCTGGCGTCTTTGTCATACTTTGTCAAAACAGCCCATAGTGATTGAGGAGATAGAACCCAGCCTAACAACTAACCTGGGGGGAGCATTGTTTTAGAAAAGGAGGGCTTGTTCAACTAATCTGAGGACCTGAATCTCTGCTGAGAATTCAATATGTAGAGAATTTAAAGCTTCTGTTAAGATTTATCCTGAAAACTGGGCAAAGTTTTCTGGTTCAGAAAGAGCTATGTCACTATTCTTTTCTTCTTCAGGTTAACATGCACAATCTCCACTCATCAAGCGATGATGATGAGAACGATCTCAAGGAGTTCAGCTTCCCTCAGGAGGCTGTCCTGCAGCAGGCAAGTGGCCCTGTCCGTTCCTGTCAGGAGGCATTCGTACTCCATACCCTTAATCACCTGTTTGCCATGTGCTTGTTTATTTAAGAACCAATGGCAATATTTTTAGCTCTGTGGCTAGGTGCCTAAAAATGAATTGCTTGCTCCAAAAGTCCTCTGGTTATTTCCCACCCCCCTCTTTCTTTTCCTCTACAGGCATAGGCTGTAATTAAGTAAATAATCAACACATCAATAATGTCATATCTTTAAGCTGAGAGATCAGTTCTCTGTGAAGGGTCTAGATTCTATATTTTGGTATGTTCCTTTCTGGCTGGCATCCCATGCAGAATCCTTCGTTCCTCTGACAAATAGCCTCTCCTCTTTCAGAGGAATGTTCCATCTGTGTTATGAAAGTAGAATGCTTACGTAAGCAGCAGCGCCCACCTTGGAGACAACAATATGTGTTCCAGCAGAAAGTTTTTGGAGAAAGATATTTACCCTGCTTCCCATGTTTCTCAGCACATTTCACCACCTCACTTTGGAGGCAATGGATACAAAATCTTGGTATTCTGTTCTTTAATCTACCAATAGTAATTGTGTATGATCAGATTTGGGCATGTAGAAAATCATAGTAACAAGTCACATGCAATAAAATAACAAGTCATGCAATAAAACATAAAACCAAATAAAATACATTAGCCCCCCCCCCCCACCCCCCAATATAAAACTATACAGAAGAAGAAAAGCCAGCAGTAGCCCAGTAATTATGTTTCATTTTTATTATCTTTTTAACCATGACATCTTGTGCTCAGGATCAGATTGTTGCTATTTGGAATGAGCCCAAGCCAGATGTTATCTGTTAGGCTCTGTTGGAAAGTACATAAGATCTATCCAGACAAAAGAATTTCCATACGTTCTTAGACGCATCAGACCTAATGATCATCTGTTTGATTTGCAACTGGATATATACATTTAATTAATAAATACAATTCTCACACCACTGTTTGTTTCCTTTTGAACTATTTATCATTCATGTTTATTTCCTATTATTTTTATAGGCTTTCGTAGGTTACCAAATGCAACAGATGACTTCATTCATTGACCACTTTGGTTTTCATGACGAAGAATTTGGCGAGCAGGAAGAGAATGTCAAGTTAGTGATGTGCTCACATTCTCCTTTGCCTTTCTCCGTGCCCTGTTTCTAGGCTTCTTTTAACATGCTCTTTGGTGGCTGAGAAATGCCTTGCCTCTTGTGAGGACAATAGCATGGCACAGCTGATATTTGTCTACTCTGGAAAAGGAAGCATGTTTTAAGCAGGCTCCAGAAGCAAGACTAAGGATTTCTAAAGCCCCACATATTAAATTATGTTCCTTTGGTCTGTGTATGCAAAGGAACATCTGCTTGGTCTTAATCTCTGCTGATTACAGCTTCATATAATTCAGTTGTAAATTCATTTGTGAAAATTAAATTACTTACTGAACACCTTTCAGGAGCATTTGATTTGCATGTGCTTGTGCCTGGCAGTTTGTCATAGAATTACAAAGATGCATAGTCTTGCATCTTGCAGATTTGGTCATTCGTCCCAGTAAACAGCCCATTGGAGACGTTAGATCAGCAATCCTCATCTGGACCATCCTGACGTTATAACGGGATCCCCAGCCTTTTTGGACCTGTGAATGCCATTCTAAGAATATGTGGTAGATACTACAAGAATGCAATTGCTGGAGAAGAGTTATTCGGTTCCCAAAATAGTCACAGGAGGGCATAATTATTTACAAAATATGGATTTAAGTAATGGAATCAATTTGTGAACCAGATACATTCATGGAAATAGTGAATGCTCACAACTGGCACTTTGCTTTGTAACATTTTTTTTAATTAAATGAATTCTTTAAAATTCCTTTTAAAAGCCTGACAGAGCAAAGAGCTTACTGTATGCCAAAGAAGATGCCTTTCTTGGAACCTGTATCCCATCTGGCATGCTGGAGACCATAGGACCTATAATTTCATTTTGGTTATGGAAAAGGAGTTACTGCAGATTTTACTGCACTAATTTTTACTCTGCTAGTTGCTGACTGCAGGGAACGGTGCTCATTTCCATTTCAAGGACATTGAGCCAGCGCTGTCCAAACACATTTCCTCAGTCATGTGGCCAGCATGATGTCACAGAATGTTGTTATTTTTGCTCTGAAGTGGTACCTATTTATCTACTTGTATTTGCATGCTTTCAAACTGCTATAAGCTGAGGTGAGGACAGGAGCTCACCCTGTCACGTGGCACTTGGGTCTCGAACCTGGATTGCTGGCTTTTCAACCAGCAAGCTCAGTGTCCTAACTGCTGAGCCACCATGCTGCCCCAAGGAAGATAAAGTCAGTCAGATAAAAATACCTGGGAAAACCTTATCTGGGGAAGGCTAGCTAGATGTTCATGCCACCTCATTGAGACCCATAAGCTAGTATTTGCTTGGCTTCCTTTGAGAATGTGAGAGGATTTAGATTATATGAGTGGTGGTGATGCTTCTGTTTTTGCCTTTGACCTTCCATTTCATGAAATCTTTGTGCTTCTTGACCTCTCTGAAAGGGGGAAATATGGAGTTTTATTTGAGCAGATCAAAGACTTTCCTAGTCCAGCATCCAATGGGCAGATAATTGCTTTGAGAAAGTTCACAAGCAGGCAGAGAGATTTCCTTTAAAGTTTTGGAAGCCAGGATGATATGATTCTTGGAAATTGGATTTTATTGAATTAAAGCCCCCATCCCAGAGGCTCTGGCTCCTAGCTTGCTTTGCTCAGCTTGCCAAATGATACGAGCCTTTCCTGGAAAAGAGGAGGATGTCTTGATTTCTTGAGTCTTATTAGCAACTAAATATTTGATATTCTTCGATAAGGCTGTCCAGTCATTCCTATTTTGCCAGTCTGTTTTGTTGAGGCAGTTCCAGCAGGATGTTTGACCTGGGTGGCCTAATTATTGAAAGTCGGGGGGGGGGGGGGGGATCTGGAGACTCTATTGATAGGCATCTCAGTCAATCTCCGGGCAGTTCTTTTTTTTTTTTTCCTTTCTCCAAGCCTCCTGACCTCATGTGTCTGCCTCTCTTTCTTTCTCTCCTTTTTCATTCTCTTTTTCTGCCTATGTGGCCTGCAGCGCTCACTTCCAACGGTTGAAAAGGTAAATGCCAAATGCGCTGCTCTTCTTCTTTAAATACAAAGATGAGGCCAACAACACACGCACACACACATACACACACTTCCTTCCTTCCCTTCTCTCCATACATGCACCACCTCAAACAAATGCAAAGATTTAATCTTAAGGAGGTCAAAGTATATGAACGCTCAGAAGTATTTTGCGCAGATCCCAGTCTTTGTAATATCTTGGGGCATTGCCATCTGCTTCTTGAGGAATAAAATTAATTGAAACTGATCAACAGTATATGTGACTTGGAAAGCTGGTTCAAATGCTTGTCGAACAAGACAGAACATGGTTTGGACTCCATAGCCACTTTCTTTGGTCTTGAGTATGAATCTGTTCTGTGGCATCTGTTGAGCAGCTTCCCTTTCAATGACAGGTGGCCCCACTAAGCTAACTTTGGCTACTTTCAATAAGCTAAGCAGGGTCAGACCTGGTTAAATGAGAGACCACAAGGAAACACCAGAATTTAGACTAGGTCGCAAAGTAATAAAGAGATTCCAAAAGAATGTAGTGGTCAGTCAATATCCATTCCTCAACTCAAAGAAGATTTCATCCTTACTTAATGAAATGTTTCTTAATATAAGCAATAGCTTTCACCAGTCAATGCACAATTTAAAAATAAAACTAATACAGCAAACACTTTTTAATGTATATACATCAAAAATAAAAATTGAGCTAGTGCAAAGCAGTTGGTAAACAGAGTTTGAAATACATTGTGTAGCACTGAAAGTTCCATATAGAAAATGAAAAGCTAAAAACATCTGTAAATCTGTGGTCCACATGGAAAAGGGGCTTCGGGTTTAAATTTGTTGCAGGAAGATAGATAATATATTAACAAAGAGTTTTCTGAAAAAGAGATGACAGTGAAATATATGAGAACTAAGAATTCTGCCTAGGAGGGAGAGACTATGACTGTTGAAAGCTGATATTAGGAGTATTTTTATTTATTAAATAGCAGAAATAATTCACATAGCAAAAATGTAGCTAAGATGAAATCACAAACTAAACTAAAAACTATCCTTTCTCTATTGGCTTAATTGTTTTAATGACTTTGGACAGGATACCTTGTTGCCTTTGCATTACAAGAATAACTACTACCGGTAGAATGTTTTCAACTCTCTCTAAAGTACTTTGGAAATGGGAATTTTACTGAAGAGTTTAGGAAAAAGAAGGGGGCTCTATTCCCATTTCAGCACAGCACACAAACCCTTCTTTTTCCCCCCAATCTAGGCTTGTACTGTTCCCATCCTGATTTCTGGTCTTCACCATAGTTTTCCTCTTTTTTTGTTGTTTTGTTTCATTTCAGTGCTCCCTTTGACAAAACAGCCAACATCACCTTCTCACTGAATGCAGATGATGACAGTGTAAGTGTCATTCCTTGACCTACCTCTCAGGGTTGTTGTTGAAGGGGAAAAACAGAAGGAATGAATATTAGACATGTTTTCCACAGGATAAAAACACACAGATTGGCCTTTCCTAATGACCCTAATTTAGATTGGGATTTCCGTTGCTAAATAAAGCAGTTGTTAGGTGAAATATCATGTGACTTCGCTGCTCAGCAGCAACAGTCACGAATGCAATCAATAAGCAAAGACCTCACAATCTATGGAGATTCTCAGTCATCCAGATTGTGGTTGTCCCAAAGGTGCTTTTTTCAGGTGACAACTGGACTTTCTAGTCCACACCCATTCGCACTATTCAGGTGACCCTGAGGACACACATAAACCACCAAATGGCCTCACTGACTCTCTTAAAAGGGTTGTCAAACTCAATTTCATTGAGGGCCACATCAAGGCTGTGATTGACCTTGGGGGTCCGGGCAGGCATAGGCCGACTTGGTGGGTGTGGCCAACAGGATGGGCAGGGCCAGCTTGACGCCACCCCCCAAACTGCTGGCATGTTTCCTCTTCGCATTGGGTAGACTAAGCTGAAGCTACACTGGCTTGATCTTTCCTCTTCGCACTGGGTAGACCAGGTTGAAGCCACACTGGCCTGATCATTCTTGTTTGCACTGGGTAGACCAGGATGGCCCCGCAGGCCGGATCCGACCATGTTATGGGCCAAATCTGGCCCATGGGCCTTTAGTTTGACACTCCTGCTGTGAAAGAATGCAAATGACAGGTGTCTGTAAGGAATATAAATCCTTCCATTCCACACCATCCAGTCAAAGCTGGAGAAGCTTCTTGGGTAAGAAGTGAAATATTTTCAAAGAAAAAACAAGAAAGTCCAGTTGTCTCTTGACCTTTGGCACCTTTGGGACAAAGACCTCACAGTTCTCCTGCCCTGCACAAATTCGTCCCATTGTCTCCTCCCCAGCTGGTTCTGGGTAGATCCCTTTGGCAGGTGAGACTGCTCTACTTAGCTGTGCTCGCCTCTTGTTGATTTCCCCTCACCTGCCTGTCTCCCCCTTATATCTGTCCTTTTGGCTGCCTTGGACTCCACCAGGTGTCCTACGCCTGCCATCCCCAGCTGATATGTGCTGTCTTGCTGTTCCCACTGCTGGTCCAGGATCATTCACTGTGTGAAGGCATGATCTCAGGACACATCTAGTCCTCAAGCAGTGTAACCTCATCTGCTGAAGGTTGCTCACTGGACCCAACTGGGAAAAAGATAGCAGGACTAAGGAGGCAGAGTGGCAGCACAGGCAGCAGCTCCACAGGTGTTGATGATGACTATCTGCATTATGCAGGGCCTCACCAGCAGTGGAGGAAGGCAAACCTCAGCCAAGGGTGGCAGAAATAGATAGCAATGATTCAGTGATTTTAGGGCGAGTGGGGTTGCGACGGTTGTAACTTTGAGAATGGGTCATAATTGCCATTTGTTCAGCACCTTCGTAACTTCAAATAGTCATTTAATAGATGAGTCATTCAAATGAGGAGGGTAACGGCAACAAAGAGAACAACTGTATCTATTCTTTCTCAATTTGGCCACTGCTCTGATCTGCCTTTGCTCTCCACTTTCTTGCAGCCCAACGCCAACCTTTTTGACATCTGCTACAAGGAGCGAATTCAACAATTTGATGATGATGAAGAGGCTGATGGCTCTGATGGGGAGGACATCTGGCAGGAAAAGGAGAGGACTATCACTTCGGGTACCTCACCGTCTATGACAGTCAGGTAGGGGAGAATCCCTTATATTAGCTTCCGTCAGCACACTTTGAGCCGAGGGTTGATTTCTCTTGCTGATATTCCCCCCCTCCCTTTTCTTTCTTCTTTTCTTAAATACATGTCTTGTAGTAAATAATTCATGCTTCTATTTTCAAAGAGTTACAACTATGATTGGTTTATTATGGTTAAACCATCTTCCTTATTTCTATCTTAAGCTAACACATGCTTCTCCTATTTTTCTCCTGCATGAAGTAGATATGCTTTGATGGTTTCTGCCCTATTGTTCCATCACCTTTGCGTGGACACCTCTCATTTTATGGACATCTTTTGCCTCTTTGGGTCAATCCTTTTATCCCCAGCCTTTGGTTAGGCTGGGTGAAGAATTATGCAAAATGAAATCAAACATGGATGCAAACTGGATAAAAATAGTGTGTGCTACGATAATAAATTTTATTTTGTTGGGAAAATCTTGTTGGGAAGATTTTTTTTATTTTTTTTGCTGAGGGTGTGTCAGGCACATTCAGTCAGCCTCCTTCCCAGGATCCTTGAAGATTTTCTGCAAGAGGTTTCCATTTTACAGGGATGTTCTTTCCGTTCTCTCTCTCTGCTTCCCTCATTAATCAAGCAGAGGGAAAACCTCCTTTATCATGTTTACCAGTAAACGGCAGGTCATATTTAGACCAAGCCCAAAGTGTGCTTCTTGGGTCCTGTCACACATTCTTGCATGCTGGGGCCTTGTCAGCTGCCCTCTTCTACAAAATGGGAATGAGCAAATAAAGCTAGACCGGATAATATGAATAGTGTTTAGCATAGCTTAAAGTGCTTAATAATACATAAGACTATTCTTAGTAGCCATGAAATTGAAGCTGAAGATGATTCAGTGTGCAGTATCAGCTTCTCTGTTCAAGGTCCAGACTTTTAGCTCTTATTACTCTCAACTGCATATCTTTCCTCCCTTGAAAATTCTCCCCATTCAAAAAACAAAAATAGACATTCAGTTTTGGAAGCCATTTTCCCCCTTCTCAAGTATGTCTAATCAGATAAATGTAGCACTTGTTGCTTCCTGTTTTCAAATGGAATTTGTGCCACTGAAAGGAGATGATTTAATTTTTAAACTCTTTTGAGTTCTTCCTGCATTTGATAATACTTTATCTCTTGTCACTATTAACACATGCAATAATCTTTTGGGGCCACTCTTTGCTATCAGCCACAATTGTATGATGCTTGGCTCCAGAATTTCCTATTCTGGCTGTTTTTTTGAATTTTGTTGGTTGGTCCTTTAGACCTTTTGTAATAATCTGAAGCAGTTATATATTTGTGTTAGATTATTCTTTCTTCCCTATTAGCTATAACAGAGACATGAAACATGCTGTTATCGTGGGGGTGGGGAGTTTTATTATGAGTTTTTGTTATTTTTAATATTAAAATATATTTTATATTTATATCTAAGGAATGCGTTTTCATTTTCAGAATCATTTTGGGCTCCCAGGGTCATAAGAGTAGAGTAGAGTACCAGAGTAGAGAGTAGAGTAGAATAGAATCGAATCAAATCAAATCAAATCAGAGTTGGAAGGGACCTTGGAGGTTCTCTACCATTTCAGACAAATAGTTATCTAGTCTCTTCTTAAAAACTTCCAGTATTGGAGCATTTACAATTTCTGGAGGCAAGTTGTTCCACTGACTAATTGTTCTCATTGTCAGGAAATTTCTCTTTACTTCTGGGTTTTCCTCTGCTTGATTAGTTTTCATCCATTGCTTCTTGTCCTGCCTTCAGGTGCTTTGGAGAATAAACTCCCCCTCCTTTGTGGCAATCCCTGAGATATTGGAACACCGCTATCATGTCACCCTGGTCCTTCTCTTCATTAAACTAGACATACCCAATTCCAGCAGCCTTTGTTTATGTTTTAGCCTCATCTTTGTTACTCTTCTCTGCACTCTTTCTAGAATCTCAATTTTTTTTAACGTCATGGCAATCAAAACTGGATTCAGTATTCCAAGTGCGGTCTTACCAAGGCATTATAAATTATTATTAACACTTTGTGTGATCTTGGTTGAACTGCATTGGGGTTTTTTTGTAGCTGCAGCACACTGCTAGTTCATATTTAAATGATTGTCCACTAGGACTCCCAAGATCCCTCTCACAGTTACTACTATTGAGCAAGGTACCATCTATGCTATACCTGTGCATTTGTTTTTTCTTACCTAAATGGAGAGCCTTGCTTTTTTCACTATTCAGTTTTGTTTCATTAGATAGCACCCAATGTTCAAGTCTGTCAAGATCCTCTGTATCTTAAGCCTATCTTCTAAAGTAAGATAGGCTTAAGATGCAGATTGAGATTGGAATTGATAATGTAATGATGCTATCATTATAGACACTTGTAATTGCTTAAAGCCTCTTTTAATGGTCTTTAGGGGAAATTGGTACATTATACTCAGTTAAATGGACCAGTAGTTTGATTCTATGGCTAACTTTATACAAGGAATTAAGTCACGATTGGTTGAGCAAGCCTTAACAGACTGGCTCATATACACTAATCCAACATCAAACTAAACGCATGATATTGTGATGCGCAGCTGCAGAAAAGGGAATCCATTGGCGTAGAGCTGATTATAGGAAAGTGTGGAATTTATTTGTTCAGCATATGGCATATCATACATGGACTGGCAATATTTATTTATTTAGGAGATTTATATTGCCACCTATTCACACATGGCAACTCAAGGCAGCTTACATGAATATAAAAACATATAAAAATCAATAAAATGAATAAAAGAGAGAATCATATAATAAATTTATAAAATAACCCCCCGCCCTGGTGACAACACATCGTACAAGCCATTTCATGGGCTCCATCCTGCTCTACGTTTCTCAGGCCCGCTAGCAGAACCAGAATATATATTAACATTTCATCTAGATTAGGTGAACACAATAAAATCTAAATGTTAAAACAATTTATGTTCAAATACCTATGTCTCTAGGCCTTCTTACCATTAAAGCACACCATCATTTATATTTTTTTTAAAAATCAGATACTGGACTTGGTATATGCCCTAGCTTACCGCAAGTGTGGAATAACTCTTATTTTATCTGATTTTCTCTCCCTTTTTACAGAAGACTTGGTAGCACAGACAGTGAAGATAGTGAAGACTCAGAAGGTGAAGGGGGTGAGGAAGAGGATTCTGGTGGGGGAGATGGAGAGGCCATTCCTGTCAGCAATGGCTGTGGTGAACAAACGGAAGCAGAAAGAACATTAGGAGGTCAGAACTCAGAGATTGGGTTGTTAGGGTTGATTGATAAGTGGTGAAGCAGAGGCAAGCTGCTATTTGCTTGTTTGAGCATCCTTTAATAATGGGAAATAAATTCATCTAGGAAGTAAGGGAAGATCATTCCTGATGTTGCTGCCATCGGCAATCCTTTTTCTGATTTGAAACCGTTCTGCTTATTTTGGTAATGAGACCTAATGGAATAGAGGGAAAAATCTAAATAGGAGCAGTCCATGGTGTAATATGTAGGAAGAAGAATGAAATAGCATCTATCCACTTTAAAAATGAATTCTGAAATAAGCATTACCCTATATTGAATAAAGTAACATGCTTGTCATTAATAAACAGTGTTTCAACTTGGATAAGACTCGCCTTATAGAAAAGATGAGTGGCATAAAAAATCCATAAATAAATCTAGGTTTTGAAATATTTTTGCCAGATTGTTTTATATAAAACACCCAGGGTTGATTTTTTTTTTAAATAGTTGTTCACTTTTGCTAAGAGTTACAATTTTACGTTATTTTCAGGGAGTATTATCCTAGCCAAACTAGCTATACTTGGCTTTTACAATTTCAGTGATTCTTCTGTCAGCAGCTCTGACTTTCTTTGGCTGAAGATACTGTTATTTAAGCCATAAGTCATATAGTTGGCAGCGCCAGAGAGTTTCATTCTCACATGTTCTTCCATGCAAATCTGCTGATTTGTAGTCTTCTAGCTGAATCTTTAGAACTGTAGCCCTCTCTATTTTAATCTTCTTCATCAGGAATGTAGCTTAATTCTGGTTTAAAATTCTTGGGAGCAAACGTTCCAAGTTTACAGCTACCTGCTTCTTATGCAATACTCCTGAGTACATTACAAATGAAAAGAGGAGAGACAACTGTATCTAATACCACTGGTATTAGAGGAGAAGTTATATTTTGGCTCAATAAAAGAACAATTATAACATTCCTTGAAAAACTACTAAAGTGAGGTTTTCTCCGTATTATGTTGTCAAATAACCCCATTATGAACACCCCACCCCCACCCCCCCAAAAAATATTGTTGAATTTAAGATCCCAGCTTCCTCATCTTTGGCTATGTTTCCCAGGGTTGCTGGGAATTGACATTTAGCAACAACAGGAGTACCACATTTTTTCACCCTTATTTATTTCTTGGCTAGGAAATAATTTTCTTGAAAGTAAAAGTCTTTTGGAATAAAAATAATTGACTCTCTAGTTGAGAAAAGGTTGATCTGGGTTAGGTCTGATCATCTTCTCAACCTCTGGACATTATTGGTATAACTGAAGAATGAATAATAATGTAAGGAAATGCTGAATACAAAAATGCCTCTTTTCCCACATTGCACCAAGATTTGATTTATACCAAGACCTTGCCAAATAACCTAGTTTGCTAAGTTATTTGCACAAAATTGTGTGTCTTGAAATTCTTTTTTTTTTAAATATGCCTTCTGTTTTTGGCACCTTGAGAGTCAAGAAACCATAAAAGCACAGAAATTCATGGTTGCAGGATCAAGACAAAACTTGGATTTTAGAACAATCTTGGTTTGATTTGGGCTTTCATCCTAATCTGTATCCATATACTTTGACTTACATTTACTCAATTGAAGAAACCTTCATTTTCATTACGCCAAAGAGAATTCAGCAATTACGGTAAGGTTGCACCCAGCTTTCCCCAGCCAGCTGCTGTCTTGAGACTTCAACTCCCAACATTTTCATCCAATAATCCTCGTAATGTCTGAATATTGAGCTATGGGGAGATTGGGGGAGACTATTATAACAGTTACAGGAACGTAAAATAGAGCTAGTTATCTCATGTAGTACATTCTAGCACCAGATAAGTATCTCCTGTGCAAATGTGATCTTTTCTAGATCCTAGCTGGGCAGACAGATCTGATCTGTCCTCAAAGTCTACGAAATCCTCACAACTGGTAACAGCTGATACAGGAGCAGCAGTGTGGGACCAACCTAATTCGGGTGCCTCCTGCTCTGGCAAAGATGAGAATTGGGCCTCCTTTCCAGAACCCACTGTACATCAAGAGAGGTGAGGCTTCAGAATGCTTAAACGTTTGGTCATTTGTGAGCTAAAGGAAGGGAAGACCAATTAGACTTCTGAGGCTATGTCTTTCAGGGATTTGGGCTTTCAGGCCCTTCTGTGTGCCTGTATTGGAAACATAATGGGTTTTAAGGGGTAAAATGGATAAATCTCATAGGGGCTTAAGTTATCATCCCATTTCTTAACACCAACACACACACACACACTAGTTGAACTGCTGAGCAACATCTTTTTGCCATCAAGTTTTGGTGATAGAATAAAGAAGTGCACTGGAAGCTGATTGATCAGATTTTGCTCATTCTGCTAGGGGTAAGGGTGGGGGTAAGGTCCAGGGCAAACAGAATCGGAAGCGATGAGAAGAGGAGTGTAAAGGAGAAATAATAGATTCAGTGGCTCACACTAGAGCCTACACCCATGATGGCAAACCTATGGCATGCATGCCGGAAGTGGCACACAGAACCACTTCTGCTGGCACACAAGCCGTCGCACCAAATCAGGTCCACTGCACATGCGCTTGTGCCTCCCACCAGCCAGTTGATTTTCAGGTATCTGGGGCAGGGAGGGGGGGCGCACGGGAGATGCATGTGCATGTGCAGAGGCATGGGGCACATGCTGGGGGGTTGTGCGCGTATGCGCAGAACACTCATGGTGTTGCACCTGCCTGCGCAGGGGGGTGTCACTTTTGGCACGCGATGATGAAAAGGTTAGCCATCACTGGCCTGCATAGTCAGTTTAAAACAACAAAGGAAGGATTTTTTGGACTTTTTACTGATTTGGTTGTCTATGGGGATTCTCAGTCATTTGGGTCATAGGTATCCCAAAGGTGCTTTTTCAGGAGGCAACTGGACTTTCTTGTGGGTTTTTGGAAGATGTTTCACTTCTCATATAAAAACTTCTTCTGCTCAGTTTTCAGAGCTGAAGAAGCTTTTTGTATGAGAAGCAAAACATCTTCAAAGAAAAACAAGAAAGTCCAGTTGCCTCATGAAAAAGTATCTTTGGGACAAGGTTGTTTGGTCGCAGAGTCAGCTAGATACTGGCATTTTTATCCACCTGTCAAGTCCTTTCCAAGGACAAGGGATAAGACAGATGTTGTGGTTAATAATATTAAAGACGTCATCTTAAGATATGAACTCTTCCAAGTAAATCATTTTGCAATTGGCTGATGGTAATTTTGTCAATTATTATTTTGTTTTGCTAGTTCTTCTAAAGTGCTCACAGAGCCAGCCGTCCTCTCTCAGGAAGTACGAAATAATGGATCCCAAGTAGAAGGTGAGCATCACTGATTCTTCAGAAATGTTTTATTGTGTCCAAAATCAATGTGATTTATTCATACAAAACTATTGAAAAGTACATACATACTGGGACAAAAATGAGGCCATATGAATTTTCAGTTCATATTTTCAAAGGGATAAATATGAAGACAGGTGTTGAAGTGGTCAAAGCTAACAATCTCAGGAGAATAAGAATCTGAGCAAAGCCAACAGTGACATTCTGCATATTGCTTTTGTACAAATCAACATTGCAGGTTTTCTTTTTTTATACTTCTGTCAGTGGAGCTGCAAAAGGCAACCCCCCACCCCCACCCAAAGTAGAGAAATATTAAGGAAGGTTTTAGTTTGGGGACTTTAGTTTATGAAAAATTGCCTCCAGGGAGGCTGTGCTAAAGGAGTATTGAGAAAATTGATGCTGTCTTCCGTAATAGTAAAACTGGGATAATCTAACGAAGCTGAACGTTGGGAAGATCTGAACAGATGTTAACAAATATTATTTTCTTTACATACAGCATAATGATACTATGGAATTTGCTACCGCAAATGTAGCCTAAGTTGGCAATTTAGACTGCTACTGGGTATAAAGTTCCCAACAGTTCCTAATCATAATATTACCTCTAGCATCAAATATTACATGCTCTTGCATATTAGTTATGATGGAAAATAAAAGTGCGTAGAGAGTAAGGTAATCTACTTTGTCAGAAATATTCAGAATCTATTATCCAGGATGAAACCATTTTTAAGTCTAGAACAGCAAGATAACAATCAAAAGTGGCTCAGGGAGATGCCTCCCTATTTCACTGACGTACAGCCAAGAAGGGGATGCAAAGCAGAATCAGACTCATAAAAACATGTTTTAGTTATAACTAATCTCAATAAAATATCTTTAGCCTTCCCATGGAGTTGATTTTTTGATCTGGTCTGTGGCTTATTTGTGTCCTTCCGATGAGTGCTGTGAAAACTGAAACCTGGATTAAATTCAGTACAGCTCTTTGTTCTAATGAAAATTGCACGTATAATTTCTGTAAGTTGATGCAGCAAGTTAATATAATGCAAATATATTAGAAATGAACCAGATTTGCTATAGTCCTAAGTATGGTGGCCCAGAGATGTTGTCTTAATATAAAATGTCTCCTATAATTTCCAATTCTGTTGATAAAAAGTGTCAGTCATAATGGTGGCATACCTTCAGGCTGGACTCCCCAATGCTGAGTGGAATCCTTGCTTCCTGGCAATGGTACAGAGGGGATTTAGCAATTCGAACAGTTGCTCTGTAACAGCCTATCAGAAAGAGCCTCCCCCCCCATCAAGGCTTGGACCCAAAAACTATTTTAAATAGAGGGGACTATTTCTCCCTCTTTCCTCTTCGCCTTGTTCATCCTTCTATTCCAACATTTACCACAGGGGGGCCATCTTGCTCTTGACAATAGCCTTCCCTTCCCAAAAACCATCTTGGCCTTCCTCAGCCTTTCTGCTCCACCATTCTTTTCCTGCAAACATACAGACACACGCACACCCTATTTATATTCAACCCTGCCAGGTATCTGTCCCTTCTGAAAATGGTCTTCACAAATCCTATAAGGGAGTAGCAACATGCCACATCAAAATAAAACCTATTTAGTAATAAATAGCACAGTGTTTGGAAGTAGTGGGTCTATTTTGTAGAAACTCCAAGGACCATGTGAGAGCTTTGGTTTTTGAGGTGGTTGATCTGGGGACCGTGGAGCCTTCAGGAGTCTGTGGGTAAATTTCAGGAGGTCCGTGAATTGGGGTGTATGTGTGGAGATACACTTTTATTTTCATTAGCCTCTAGCTGAAATATTACCTAATTGAATGAAAAGTTAAATTTCAGTTAGAGGCTAGTGAGAACAAAATGTATATATAAATATATATATATATAAATAAATATGTAGAAAAACAATTTATGATCTTTAGATTTCAAAAGAGTGTGTGTGTGTGTGTGTGTGTGTGTGTGTAAAATATTTTGCTCTTGAGAAGCTCAGAGCTGCAACAGCTAGTTAAGCTAATTAAGCTGTAAGAACAATATGCCTATCCTGTGGAATACAATTGGTTCTGTATCTGGATAGGAAGTTCAACCTTCTTTATCCAAGTCCATCATTGTGATTCTTTGCATAAGGCCTACATTACCTGCCTCTCTCATCTCTCCTGGTTACCTCTTCTCCTGCATCTTTGAATGGTCACCTCCCACGGTGTTCATAAGCATGACCAGGAGGAGTCTCCTGCCTTGTGTTCCCCAAAGCTTCCTTGAATCTCCAGTCTACAGTCCATCCACCTGTAATTACTGCAAGCTTAGATCATCCTTAGTTCCCCCGACATTGCTGGATTACCATTCAGCATCCACTATCTTTATAGCTGACAGCAATTGGAACCCAATAAATTTTGAAGAGCCACTGGCTCCCCTTCCATGGGCTAATCCATAAGGATGGTTGAGGAAGCAAGTGGGGGCAGGGCAGACAGTTACTGTACCTTCAGAAATAATAACACTATGGAATGAAGGTTTGGGATAGATGGTAGCCAGAATTGTCATTTTCCTCTAACAGAGCATGTATTTCCCACCCCTTATCTAGGTCTGATGGGTTGTTGGTGTTTTTTTTTTTTTTTTTTGCCCTCTTATAGCAGTCTCTAGTGTTTCACAGGATCCTCCCACCCCAGACACAGGCCCTCCAGAAGAGGGAAACCCATCAAACTCTCCTATCGTGATAACAGTAGCCAGGTAAGATTGTGAAATGTGATCTTGTGAGGCCACTGACTCTGTGTACTTCTGAAGGATTGTTAAAGGAGGAATACCAAGCCTGCAAGTATGCACTAGTGATAATGGAAGCCCTTTCCAACATGGCCAGGTATATACGAAGAGGGCTCAACTAGAAGGCAGCGCCTGGCTAACCTTGGCTGATGTCCAAAAGCTTCAGCAGTTGACGAACACATGAAATCAACAGGAGATCCTAGGAAGTAGGCTAGGCAGAGATGTTTGGTGGGAGCGGGGAAGAAACGCCAGACTAAAAACAGCTGTGAAACACAGAACCGACAACAATGGCAAAACGAAGAGCCGGGGAATAGGCAACTTGAGAGAGACTGATTTAAAACAATTAAAAAAAATGTGAAATTGTAGACATTAAAACTAAAAGAAGAAAAACGGTCACTTCTTCTCAGTCGGGTGCCTTCCTCAGACCTATGATCTTCTGTATTGTTTTCCTATAATCACTGTTTGGAATTATGAATATAAAAGTAATCCACGTCATGGTGCTAAGGTAGCCTTTCTTTCCCTACCTTTCCCCACCTTCTTCAACAGCACAAAAGAACCTCCCCCATCTACCTCTGATTCCATCCAGCCACTTCAGGGGACAACAGAAGCTCCACAACCTGAGCACAGCAACCCTCAGCTAGAGCAACAGCAGCAATCGGCAGCCAGGTAAAATATTGAAAGGGGTTGGGATTAGTAAGTCATAGGAGAGGAATTTGAAGTTGCAAGAAGGCAATCTCAAAATTATTCATTATAAGGCAGCGAGAGTGGAGGTAAGATGTAGTTGGAAACAGGCTATCCTGGAAATCTTTAATCACAGAATACTATAGTGCGGATGCTAATTCTTTCTTGTCTCTTCCTCCTAGTCCTACAATTTTTAATTTTCTTCCACTGCTTTTGAAGCTTTCAAAAACCACAATAATTATTTTGAATCAGAAATTCTGCCTATTTTAGTGCTGGTTTTGCAGCAAACAGCAAGTGATGAGAAAGCCAATCCTTTCACATGCCCTATATAATCAACAAATTCTGTGAGATCTGGACAGTGTCTTCTGCATGAAATATTCATTGCATAATATATCTCAGATCAGCAAATGGGTCAAGAAACTGAAAAATGCAAAGCTCTTTGAATTGTATTCTCAGTCACTTATGGAGGCACTGTAATTAAATTGGGAAATGCAAAACTAGGAGGATTAGAGAGAGCGGTGTCTAATGATGACACAATGAAGTGCAGAATCACTTCCATAAGAGGAGCCAGAGTCTCAAATCTGATAGTTCTGCAGAACGATGAAAAGAGGATTCTTTCAGCAGTAGAACCTTTTTTTAAAATAAAGTTAACTCATTGGACACAAGTGCAGTCTAAGACTTTTGTTTTGACAAATATAAAGCAATAACATTACACAGGAATTATAAAATTATAATTTTATAAAAAGTATTATAAATTATAAAAAAGTATTATTCAATACCATTTAGTGGCTTTGAAGTTATGATAGCGCCAACAAAAGCGACTTACAATCAGTCCTTGTACTTATTACCCTCACACCATTCCCGGGTCATGTGATTGCCATATGTGACCTTCCCAGCTAGATTCTGAAAAGCAAAATCAATGGGGACGGGGAAGCCAGATTCACTTAACAACCAGGATATTAATAGTTGTTTTATAACAAAGCAATAATGCTTAGCGATGGAAGTTCTCGTCCCAATTGTGGCTGTAAGTTGAGGACTATGCACCCATACCCAGTTGTGGAGGCAAGTCATAAAAGAACTGTAATGACCAGGAAAGGAAGGGAATATTTCTCTAACAGATAAAAAGTCTTAATTTTATAATTATTATTTTAAGAAAAATATAAGCAAATGAGGAGAACCATAACATCTTGGTCATGAGAAGATCCATGAAATAATTTGTAGTAGGATTTAAAAAGATGGAAAGAAAAAGCATCTAATTGTTTCTGGAGTTAGTTTTTAAAAGGAAAATAGAAGTTACTAGTTTTACTAGTTGAGGACTACAATATTTTACAATGTCCATGTTGCTTGACATAGAAACCACTGCTTAGTAGCTAAACTATTAAGAGTTTGTTGACTTTAAAAGGGGGGAAAAAAACCCTGGCCATTAAAGGTTATAAAGAACAATTAGGAATTACATAGCATGACTCACTTAGTGGAGTCTTTGAAATCAAAGAGGAAAACCCATTAATCAAGATGGGATTTCTATTTCCCTACATGACTCTTTGTCTTAATTTCTAATAATTACAGCTCTATGTGCCATTTGACTCTGTTCTCCAACCTTGCATGATCATGGCCACCTTTCCTTTTGTGTTGATTGACAGTCCTCTTAGTTCACTCATCTTGTCTGCCCCCAGCTGTTGCTTGCTTTACAAAAAGATGCTGAAGTGACTAGAGCTAGAAGCTTATTTTGGAGCATGCAGGTTGACATTCAGATGCAAAATGTCATGATGGTGTCACACTCTCCCGTTTTGTTTGCATGACATTCTATGAAACAAGAGGCAAAAAAGCGAACTTTTCTCTCTTTTTATTCCTCCCCAGATAAAGGCACTCAGTGGGTCTCGTCACTGGGAAAGAACCACGGCTGCTTGCTCGATCAAGTCTATTTTGCCAGGGACTGTCCCCAGTCCTTCCGGTGCCTTCACCCCATGGGCAGGCGGGGGGCAGAAGAGAAAGCAGCAAGGGGCAATGAAAGGGCCCAGCCCTCTCTCCCTCTCTCCCCCTCCCTCTCCCCCTCAAGCAATCACTGAAGAGTCTGGTTCCAACAAGCACCTGTGAGAGAAATGGATGTGTGTACGAGGGTCGCAACATCATCCCCCTTCTGGCCACATCATTTGGCGAACCCCAGCAACGGTGTTTCCCACCCACCACCCCTCTTGCTCCGGCAAGGGGCAGCAACCTTTGGCACAAGGCCTCTCCCCCTGCATCCCCTCTCCTCAATATGCATTCATACACACTGCTGCACTGAGTAAACCTGTCTTTAATGCAATTAAAATTGAATGCTTGAATCATATCAGAAGTCTTCTGATGGGGGGCGGGGCGGTAGTGCTAGGTGGGTGGGGAGAAAACCCATCAAGCAATCTCATGACGATTGAATGTCCCACTTGTAAGAACACTTCTTCCATCTACACATTTGATCCATGGGGAGGTAGGCGCGACTACTAGAGGTATCACAGGAGAATAACTAAAATAGGCTTGCTTCCAACAGGCATAATGGGCTTTGTTAACTGTGAAGGTTAGGACAGCGGCGTGTAAGATGGAATTTGTGGGATGCACAGTCTCTTTTTCCTATTGGGATGGAACCCTGTTTTGCATTTTAGCAAGTGTTAGATCCATTGCCTCCCCCCACCACCAATGCAGGTAGCCCACATGAGAAAGCAGAGGTGGCTTTTCTGATCTGTTGGCCAAACAATATTAGCAACACCTCACCAGAATTGCCCATCGTTAACTTGGAATCTTCCACCAACTTGCTCAGTAAGGCTTCAGACCTCTTTATTAATTAGCATTTGTGAATCCTGGATTGGAACCTTTAAAAGTTTTCATCTTGATTCTTCCTATTTCATCCCCTCCCAGTGCGTAGTCACCACTCACTTGGTTGTCAGTCCTCTTCTCATTTTCTTCCCATTGGATTCTGCCTTTTCTAGCCATTTTTTCCTTGTAGTGTTAAAACACCATTTTGTAACCTGTGAAAAAGGAGATCTTTCCCACAGGCCCAAGTACCAGCTGCATTGATAGAGTGAGAAACCGGCTAGATTCTGTCATCACTTCCTTTCAGTTAAGAAGTGAGAGAATCTACAACTTAGGGGTCAGCCCCAAGTGACCATCATGTCCTTGGAGAAGCCATTCATTTTTAAGAGGCATAGCAGAGAATTCTATATCGTTGCTTTGTTAGTTGACAGTTTCCCCTCCCCCCCACTTCCCATTTCAGTGTTTTTGATACAGTGTGCTGTAATAGATAACCCTTAATCTTCAAATATTGGCCTACTCTGTGTCCTTACTGCAACAATTGCCTGATGTATCTCCCCAACACAGCCCAGAATCCATTTTACAGGCGTTTTCTTACATATATATCTACAGCACATTCCTAAAATGTAATTTAAATTTTCTCTTCTTCCTCCCTCCACTAAGAAAGAAAAGAAAGTTCTGAATTATGTAAGTGCAGTTCTTTGATTCTTGAAAAACTCTGCTGCCATTTCTTGAGTTCCTACTGAGAATTCTTCTACACTTTGTAATACGCAAGATTCAAATTGCCCTTGTAGGCCTGAATTGCAGGCTCTCCTTTCTGCAAGAAGTGTCCTTGTTATGCCACTTTTTTTTTTTTTTTGGATGATTAGGAGTCTTCATTTAAAGTCCTTACCCCATTAAATTATAATTCTCTTATGTAACTCCTTTTTTCTCCCTCATCTCTGATCTCCTATAACCTTTGAAAGCAACCAAGCAATCAAAATCACTAGGCCACCTTTGCCCTGTCTACCAAGTTGGGCAAGAGCATGGCAAAACTCAACCATGAAATGGAAGAGGACTTTAGGTCAGCCTGTTCTCTGGATAGGGGAGAAAGGAAGTGAGACAAAGATTGAAAAACGGGTTTTGCAGAGGTCGGTGTCTGAACATCTGGCATAGGACGAGAAGTGATGGGAAATATTCTTGTATAAGAAGTGAACACACACACACCCCTTCTGCCCTCTGTACTTGCAGATAGTAGGTTTGTACCCCTCCTGTCTCCCTCTTCTCTCACCCCTCAATATAAGTGGCAATATTTCATGAAGCTCTTAAAATCACAAAGGAGAGAAGTGGCCTTTCGCGTTGTCTGCGTCATGCCATTTTGTTTTGTTTTCTTTTCCCCGTGTGTGTGTGCGCGCGCATGTGTGTGTGTGTGTGTATGTATGTATGTATGTATGTATGTGTTCTGTTTGAATAAAGAGATTCTATGGCCATAATCGTTTCTTAGTTTTGTTCTTCCAACATAGCACATTTTTGGCTTTAGAGTCTACTGTCTCACCTGAGTTTTTCCTCTCCTTATTTTTTGTGTGTTTTATGTGTACCACAACATGATGGCTGTACCACTTTGCACTCAGTGGAGGTGTCACATGTTGTACTGTGAAAGCTTCGCTTTTCTTAAGTTGTAGTCTCTGAAGGATAGAAGTTATTATACAGACTGGCAAATGGTCCATTTTGTTCCGTTCTGTATGAGCTTGGTCAACCTTTTCCAGCATAATGCTTCTTGGAAACATTGGGATTTTAAGAATTGCAGCCCTAATATATGGATGGTGGCAAGTCTGGAAAGCTGCTCATTACTAACTTTACAGAGTTTGGATAAGAGTCTCTCATGTTTATCTGGAGATTCTGAGGACTACAGTAGTACTTTGATATTCATTGTTAATTTGTTCTGGGAGGTGCAATAAGTACATGAAACGAGTACCAAACAATTTTTTTTTATCATAAGGAATAATGTAATGAGTTACAAGGCAGCTGACTCCTGTACCAAACAGACGAGTACTGGGACAAAATTTTCACATCTAATTTTGTTGAGTACCAAATTGGATGAGTTTTAAAGTAGCTGAGTACAAGATACCACTGTATTAAGTCTTTACCTCCAATGTGCAGCTTTCCCCAAAAGATCTGATCTCTCTGAAAGAAAATACCTTCCTTTAATGAGAAGATTATTTTCCCCAATAGTATGGGGAAGTTGTGTAGTGCACAAACATATATACAATCTGCTTTTTAAAAAATGTCTATTATAAAAATCTGATTGCTAGAAACATAATTGAAGCCAGACTTAAATTTAGAAGAGTCCTACTAAAATGGATGGAGAGTGCATTGGGCCAATTTCAAGAGTTTTTATAGTTAGAATATTTACAGGTAGAAAATACTAAGATTTGGAGTAGTTATATTATTCCAGACTAGTTGTTCTTCCATTTCAGTTCCACCTCAGTCAACTGAAACTTTCTGAGGGTGAAGTGGAGATACTGTAGGTTGAAGAAGGTTGCGCCAATTCTGTCAGATTGTCTGGAAAAGAATAGGATGGGTTTTGTGTAAACAGCAACTTTCCCCAATTTGGGGACATGATAAATCTCCTGAACCTCAAAGCTGGAACAACTGCGGGAGGGGGAAAATGCTATCTACCGGTAAGCAACCATTAAAGCTGACTTCAGATACTGGGGTGGGAGATGATCTTCCTAGCACCCAGCCTCCATTATCCCCAAGTAAATAACATGATACTGTAATAAATCAAATTGATTTCTTTCCATTTTGTTAACATAATCAATAGACTTCTCCACACACACCCTTTTTCCAATTCATCCTGAAACAAAGAGAAATAATAATTTGCTTAATAACAAGCAAAGCAGCCTGGTTAAATATTGAATGTGAACCTTTAAAGAATAATCTGGGTCTAGAGCAGAGGTGTCTATTTCATTGAGGGCTGCATCAGGGTTGTGTTTCACCTCGGGGGGCCAGTGGGGACATGACCAGCTCAACATCACTCATGTTGGAGACGCCTGTATTGTCCCGAGTGCTCTGCCAGCGAAAATGGGCTCCCAAGCTCAGTTTTCAGCTGCCACGGCCTCCTGCAACCCTCTGCCAGTGAAAACACAAAAGCACTGCAAGATGGTTCTTCGCTATTTCTAGGGCAGCCCCATGGACCAGATCCAAGTACCCCATGGGCCAGACTCGGGCCTTGAGTTTGAAACCCCTGGTCTAGGATGTACTCTCATTACAACTTTGTTTTAGCCACAGATTCAAAAATCTGCTAATGCCAATCTATGGGAAAGCCTTCGTTTACAAATGAAATTGAATATTTATTTTGTCCATATGGATAGTTTTCAGAAAGCAGTGAAAGAGCAATTATGGTGAAATTGTGGTCTTAAAAGTGTGGGCAGAAGGTTCTAGGAAATTATGGATCACGTTATTAATGATGTATTACATGACATAGCAAGGTAAGTGACATCAATAGTTTAATTTCTATGTAATTGAGAACAAAGTGACAAAATGTACCAGGGAAATGTTTTGGATCTAAGTTTATATTTAAAATATTTTAATGGAAAAGAATTCAGACATTTCTGCCTTTCCACTCCTGAATATTCTTGCTGTTTATGAATATTCTTATGTTAAGGGCTTGGGCATAACAGCAGCAGTAACAACAAAATAATGCAACTCTGGAAATAAATTTGAAAGTCCAAATGTAAAAGGTGCATTTTCTTAACCCTGTTTAAAATTCAAATAGCATTAAATTATGCTGCAGAATACTAGCTTAAAAAAATCGTAACAGCAGAAAGCAAATATTTATCTTGTATCAATTGAAAGGTTTTTAATTTTACCTTAAGAGACCTTCCATGATATTTTGACCCAGTGATGGCTTGATATGCTTGAAACACACTCTGCCAGAGTTTTGAGCCTGCATTCTTTTTTCAGTCAATCAACATTTATTAAATCCCATTTTTAAACATACAAAAATGCCATTAAGTAATTTGACTTTCCTTCCTTTTTCTCAAGTCCAGAGTCAAAGATAAATGGCAAGATCTGTTAGAAATCCAGCTTAGTTATAAACTTCAGCTCATTGGAAGTCATTTTACTGTGAACCAAGTTGGGGCTTCAAAGAATTTAAAATTGCTTGACTGGACTGAAGGCTGGGCTTAGAGATACTATCAGTATCTACTGAGTTATGAATTTCCATCTATCTATCTATCTATATCTATCTATCTATCTATCTATCTATCTATCTATCTATCTATCTATCTATCTATCTATATCCATCTATCTATCTATATTTATCTATATCTATCTACCTACCTACCTATCTACCTATCTACCTATCTATCTACCTATCTATCTATCTATTCAGCATTTTCCTCTCTTAAAAATGTCTTTCTAGGTTGTGTGCATATATTAAATGTACAGAAAGCTTTATTTCTTGTTCTGTATGATCATGGATCCATCATGTTTCTCCAGTTCTTAAGATCTATTGGCTGTCGTCATTTTTATTACTGAGAACATTTATGAGATAAATGATTCTCCCGCCTTGCAACAGAAACTTTATGATGCAACATGGTTTATTTGCCAGTTTCATTATCAGAACCAAACCCTGTGGCCTTTGAAGTTAAATGCCTGAGATAGAGGATTGTGCAATTTAACCCTTGTCTCCCTTAATTTATAGGATTGGTCTTTATCTTTCCATCTCACTATATTTGGTAAAAGGGTAAGACAGATTTGTGAGCCTATTCTTTGTAGAAACAAATGCTTCGAGCTACTGCAAGAGAGGCAATTGCAAATCTTAAAATAGGGTTCCCTAGATTCAGAGCTTAGAGACTGGATTTGGTCAGAAATACAGAGAAAGAAGAACTAACGATGGGGCTGCTATTTTCTACGTTTGAAAGAACAAAGAGTAATAATTATGCCTTTATCATTGGCAGGGTGATATCTTTGTGCAAATGACACAAATTGTAACGGAATTTATTCTGTTGCACACAAAGTCTGTTCAGTAGAAGTTCAGAAAATCAAGAGCTTTTTTGTATTGTATATGAAACTTGTAAGTAACTGAAATGAATAGTGAAAAGTAACTTTCAGAGTATTTGGAACAGTTAGTAGTTGGCTACCTGTAGACACCAGCTGTCTGCACTTCTCAATTTAGTCAGCAGGTTTTCCTCCAGCTATCCTTGTACAGGTAGTCCTCGACTTACAACAGCTCATTTAGTGACTGTTCAAAGTTACGACAACACTAAAAAAAGTGACTTATGACCATTTTTCAAACTTCTGACTGTTGCAGCATCCCTATGGTCGTATGATTTACATTCAGATGCTTGACAACTGACTCACATTTATGACGGTCGCAGTGTCCCAGGTTCATGTGACCATCTTTTGCTACCTTCTGACAAAGTCAATGGGGAAGCCGAATTCCCTTTAACACCTATACTAATTTAACAACTGCAGTGATTCACTTAACAAATGTGGCACGAAAAGTCATAAAAGGGGGCAAAATTCACTTGGCACATTTCTCACTTAGCAACATAAATTTTGGGCTCAATTACAGTCGTAAGTTGAGGATTACTTGTAGTCCTTAAGTTGTAAGTCAATCATAAATTACAACAGTCAAAATGTTTTACCACCTTTTATGCAGCAGTTGTTAAGCAAACACAGTGATAGTAAAGTAGCTGCCATAGTTGTTAAGTGAACACCGGCGAATTAATGGTTGTAGAAGCTATGCAGTCACATGGCTGCGGGAGCGGGAGGGTGACTATTGGAACTTAGACTCTGGGTTGTAAGCCCCCATTTTGGGGTTGATTGTAACTTTGAACAGTTGCTAAGAGTAAATCAAGGATTTATTTTAACCCCTTAATCTCCAAAGCGCGCAATCCAGTTCCATTGGCTTGATTTCTGCAACCAGGTGCAGTTCAATGCAATGTTGAGATTACTGTTCCTAGAATTATACAAAAGCTGGTTTTCTAATATTGTTAACCATTCCTTTCTCAAGCTTTGGCTCTCCAGATGTCTAAAAGGCCGTATTTCTGGACAGCATGATTTTAGGAAACCCTATTGTGAGAATCCTTGTTTGCCATAGTCCTACCACTTCTCAAAAGTATGTTGCTGGAAAAGTCTGGTGTTCTCCATAGTCTTATTTCTCTAATTTTGTGATCACATTTACATTGTTTCAATGGTTCTACCCTTACCCGGGCAGCTATTTTCAGAAAGCTGTTTTCCCCATTGCAGTTCAACCTCATAAAGCTTTCATATTACTTTATTTAGTCTCAATATTATCAAATGAAAGGATCTTAGAATTTAAGATACAGTGTCATCTGTGTTTTGATGTTGCAAATTGAATAATGGAAATATTGATATTTGAAATTAGTACAGTGATTCACTGTATTTAATCCAGATAAGAATAACAGCCTGGGAAGGTGAAAGAATAGATTAACTAGGAAGTAGACTAT